TTGTATGTTTATACATTTGACCAGTACTATATATTTTCAAACATTATAAGAAATTTGTGGATCTCTTGGCAACTCTTTTGATGACTGCTTTTAATAGTCTTCTGAAAGGAAGGATGTTCCATCAGGAGACCCTTGCTACTATCATTTCTATGTTCCAAAACCTAATACTGACAATATTACTCGGCCTAATTACAGACCTCTTTATTAAACCTCAATATTAAATTACTAGTCAAGATCCTTATGACTTGCTTAAATTCTGTTATAGGTTCTCTTAATACACAGGGATCAGGTTAGGTTCATCCCCCTCCAACAAGCGAGTGACAATATTCGTCGACCCACTTTTCTTATAGTAACTCTAAGAAGGCAACGTATCCCAGCAAACTTGTCATTGGACATTAGAAAAGACTTTGATTCAGTTTGGTGGTCTTACACTACATTTTTGGACGTGGGGGTTTGGCCCCCATTTTCTCTGCTGGATTTTGACTATCACCACTTTCCCCCGAGCCTATCTTAAATAATCTGGATATCTGTCTGACCCCTTTCCCATAACTTGGGGCACAAGGGAAGACTGCCCCCTCTCGTCCCTTTTATTTGCCCTTTCCATTGAACTCCTGTCTCAAGTAATCCATTCTTCCCAGACATTAAAGGCATCAAACTAGCGGGACACCATCAGAACCTTTGCTTGTTTGCTGATGATGTGCTTTGTTTTGTCACTTCCCTCATGTTATCACCCCCAGTCTAATGCAGACTCCTGAACAGTTCACTACCATCTCCAGTCTAGAGATCAATCAAGCCAAATTGAAGACCCTTAGTTGAACTCTCCCCCTGCAGGATTTTGCTTTACTACAAGCCTTGTTCCGCTTCATTTGGTCCATGGAATCTGTTCCATACCTGGGCATTTGCTTGAAAGCCACATACAACATTGCTAGTTCAGGCCAACAACCCTCCCATGCTCATCAAACTTACCTCCCAGATGACTCAATTGTTGTTGTACATATCTTGTGGATGGACATTTCGTTGTTATTAAAATGACCCTGCTCCCCAGAATCCTGTAGCTTTTTTTTTATGTGTTACTGGTTAACGTACCCTTACACTATCTGCATATACCACAATAACATTTTTCTCAGTTTGAGAGTTTGCTCAACACTCCCTTTTGCCCACAATATTTCTGCTTAGAATATGGGGTGGCCTAGTGCTCCCCCACCTTATTAAGTACTACCACTCCACTGAGATGGTCCAGCTGACCAAAGTGCATGCAACTAGGTAAATCCCTGTATGGGCGTCAACCTGCATCACCTGCTGGTGGCACTATGTTTCCCAGAGTGAAAGACTGTAGTTCTGGTGTGCGCCAGCGGGCATCTCCCAGCAACCAGCAGATCCCAGTAATCAGTTTCCACCTTATGCTGGCTGGTGGGAGGATATTTAGTTCCACCTCTACCTTTCCCTTTCATGTCAGTGTTTTCTTTTGCTAGTCAAATGGTTCTTGCCATTTATCATGCCCCTTGATCTTGCCCTGCATCCTGTAGCCTGTTGTTATATCTGCTCTCCTTGTTCCTGATCCCCATCCTGGTTCCACCCTTCCTTGCATCTCCGGTATTCCCTGTGATCTGTGTTTCTCATTTTAGATATACTGTGTATATCGTTTTAGTTAGGTTGTTAGTTATTTTTGTTACACGGTTTATTGTTCACTTGTATCTTAACATTTGCGGTGTTTGGATGTATTTTGGTTTCACTGTAAATAAATCTTACCTAAAGCATGCACGGTCTGGTCTCAGTTTCATAAGTGTAGCCATGCAGATCTGGTCCTTTCCTGCTGCGGATTCCTAACAATGGGTAAGTCTAGAAGCAGTGTGATCCAACAACTACGTATTCTCCTTTGGCTGACCCCGGAAGTACATGGACCCTTACAAATCACATCACTTTACATTCACTAACCCTTTGGGACCACATTAAACAGCGTGCAGGTTTTTCTTCAGCTCATTGTCCTATGCTATTCTCCCTTTTCCTACTCTATGCCAGAGCTTTCAATTACCATCATCAGAACTTTGCTGTTAACTTCAAATTAAACACTTCTTCACTAGCTCTCCCTCCCATTCATCCATAGGTCAGCTTACCTTGTTTGAGTATGTTTGTGAAAAAGACCTCCATGCTCTGGTACTGATTTCTACCCTGTATCTCACAATGCTTCCTAAGTTCTTTTCAAGGCCCCCATCCTGACCTCTGTATCACTGTCAAACCAGAACACTGGACTGAGATATGGTTGGCCACCAAGTCCTGCTTGGTGAATATTGCTGCACTGGAAACCTCATACAAAGCCCTTTCCTGCTGCTACCCAATTCTGGCTCGCAATTCTAAGTATGTACCGCGCTAGCCATCTGAATGCTTTTGGGGCTGCAAGGATTTGGGAAAGCACCTATATGTCAGATGGACATGCTCCACAGTTCACAGGCTTTAGACTGAGGTCTTTAATCTTCTAATCTAAAATACTGGGCAAATCTATTTTTTATATTAAATTCACATCCCCCAGACATATCTTCTGAATTCAAACTTCTTTTGCAAATTAAAATGGCAGCCAAACAGACAGAAGTGGCTGCCTGGAAAACCTTCACCCTTTGCCTGATTGAAGTTAAAAACAGAGTTACACATGCCATGATCCATGTCAAGATTGACTCCTCTATGCACAGTTGTTTCCCAAAATTTGGCAATTGTGGACAGACAAGTTTCTATCCACAAATTTTGACTCAACGCTGCTTGAACCGTAAAGTCATGTGCCTACTATTTGTTGCCAATAATGGCCTTACCATTAAGACTGGGAACCACATTCCTCAAACCTGACCGCTCTTCTCCCTCCTTTCCCACCTACTTGCTTCTCTTTTCTTTTTTACTGCTGTTTTCTCATCATGCTGCAAAGGACACCTTGTTTTCTGCATACACTATCCATCGGCTCATGATCTACAGTACAGGTTTATAGCTGCTATATATGCTCATTTGGCCTAGGTTAGGGAGGCCTCAGCCTCTTGATTAGTCAATGCTCTTAAATGTGTTACCCATTCTTCCCAACTGTTGTATGTAAACTATGAAAACGGGAATATAAACTTTTGAACAGAAAAAAAACTCACAAAAAACAAACAATGGTTCTGTCAATTTTTACTTTTTTTTTCTTTTACATAACAGGCCTAAATCTGTTCGTACAGACTTTTATATACTAGTTTGTTTTTTTAAAAAAAAGCTAATGTAAGTGAAATTTAACAATAGTTTTACAATCCTATGGAATTTGCTGAGAATCAGTCTTCTCCAAAGCAATACAAAGATTCTCTTGACCTGCTTTCAGACTTGTCTTGAAACACTGCTGATAACCATCATATGTCCTTTTCATGATTTCCTGCTTTGGTTTTCAATTACAAATCTTCTAATTTGCTAAATAAAAATTAAGAAAAAATATTTTTAGATAGAAATAATAATAGTTGAGCTGTATGGATGAAGCAGAAACCTCAAACATATAGTGTTAAAAAAAAAAAAGCACTTCAATTAATTTTAAATTATTACCAACTATTCTTACCGAGTATACCTATAAGGCACAGCAATAATTCAGAACTGTAAAAAAATGAATATATTTATAAGTTACAGAAATCCAAATATAAAATATCAGGGTTTTTTTTTGTTTACACTACTACTTTTGCAGGTACACAAGATATTGTCCAATTTGTGAAAGCAAAGTACTTACCGGTACTCTATGCCTGGCTAACAAACGTATAAAGAATATATGTAAGATAAATGTTTGCTGGCACCAACATTAGCTGTAAGGCAGCTTACTACTGCTGAGATGATCCGATAATCCTTTTTTTTGTATTCTTTATTTATAAAAAAAAAAAAAAAAGTAATAAAGCTGGCCATACATGGTTTAGTTTTTTTAAAACTGAACTGATTTCCCCACCCACACATCTGAGGTGGATGTGGTAATCCTCGCCGCTGTGTCATTGTATTCCAACAGCAGAAAAGTTCAGCTGACATCAGAATACACTGATCAGTGCTGCAGCACTGATCGAACTAAGGTTTTCCAGCATGCCTGTTTGTGAACAATCGATCAGTAGATCCCCTGCTCTCAAACAGGACTGGTGAAAATTCAGCCAGTTCCTCCTGAAATGGTCACATTTCAATCCATAGATTCTATGGCTATCTTTCAGCAGACCAAAGATGATTCAATTCTTTAACTTCAACCAGGTTGGGGGAATCAGCTCAGTTTTTTTTTTTTTTTTCTTCAAACACACATTTGAGGTGGACGGGGGAATCGCTCCCGCTGAGCTTTTGTGTTCTGATGGTAGAGAGACTTTCCTGCTGTCAGGATACAATGATCAGGGCTGCCAGCTGTAGCCTGCAGCACTTATCACATGGCATTATCCGACAGGCTGATTGTACAGAAGTCAATTGGTAGATCGACTTCTGTACACCCACTGTCCCCAAATGTGGATTGAAATTTGTCCGTTCCCTGCTGAATCGGTCAAATTTTGATCCATGTATCTCCGGCATTAGTCTTTTAAGGAGCACATGTATTGTAATGCTAATCCATTGCACTGGCTACGTATTTCACAGCTCTGAGAGCTCAAAATGCTATCTCTAATTTTTATACAACTAACAAATGAATAGGGTAGCACAAACGTCAATTCTGTAAGTGCTTTGGTAGGCAGAAAGCTGCAAACTTTAAAAAATACTATTAAAATAGAAAAAAAAAAAACATTTACTTAAATTATTTTGCAAACATTTCTACCATCCTACTATGTCATAGTTTGGTTTTAAAGAATTCTTACTTTTGAAGCTATTTAAAAGATCTACTAAATATAGTTCTTACATATATAAGCCCAATCATACAATATTTAAAAGTTTAAGATACCTGAAATGTCATTTAAATCAAGATAAGAAAATGAATATTGGCTTAACTGCAACAAAAAGGTTAATGACACATTTTACAGTGACTCTTTTATAAAAAGGTACACAAAACCCACCAAAACACTGTAGTAATTTCCATTTTTTTTCCATGACTGCTGCCTCATCTTTTAAGTCTTGTACACATTCTTCAGTAGGAGGTTTGTAAGGACCAAAGTCCATTTCTGAGTGGCAGCCCGACAGAACATTACACAAGGCCCCTGTCAGCTCCAGTTCAGATTCCTGAAAATAACAACATTGAATTAAAAAAACACATGCTAGAACACTCATTTGCATCAATAATTGGGTGTTTCATTATTTCAGGTTAAATATGTGACCGGTTACCACAGTTATTCCAAAACATGTATTAAACAGTTCATGGCTAGACTTACCGGAACAATAGAAAGAACTGCTCCTTCAGATAAACCTTGCAGCAGGCTAGTGAGCAGAAGAATATCCTTTGTACCAATGCTCCTGTTATTCTCCACAGATATGATAATAAGATCAGGCTGGTAGCTGTAAGCCAGTGGAAGGATGTATCGAAAAACTGCATAAAAGAAGCTGCTGCCTTCTGCAGGGCTCTGTGAAGAAATAGCACAATGTGACAGACATAAGTGTGCGCAGGGGGTGTACCAGGTGTGCCTGAGCACACGGTAATCACATTGTGCGCATTTGTATTATCACTCTGTGTGCCAGCGGGGAGATGTGAGAAGATCTCCCACTGACCGACTCTACCATAAAAGTGTGTGTGTGCATTATTTATTTATATTTATATACACACACACATGTGTATTTGAGCTTTGGGGTCACACCTCAATGCAATAGGCTCTGCACAGCTATGGATTTAGGAGGCCTTAACACTAGCACAGGACATTTCTGCACCTAAATAACCCAATTCAATTATCTACTCTATATAAAAACATGCACTGCTTAATTTCCAGCTGCACTAGTTTTACAAATATCAATCAAAACACCTTATAGAATACTTCAGATATGACATGGAGACTTTACCTCCAAGGCAGTTCTCCTTTTGTTAAAGCAAAGTTCCACACCAAACACAAAAATAGGGAAGCGCTAAAGTGAATCCCTATATACACACACAGTGCATATAATATTAAACGAAAACCATACCTCATAAATTAAATAAATCCGTGATATGAAATAATAAAAAATCAATAAAAAAATCAATAAAAAATATAGAAAAAATCTTTCCTTGCCCTTAATTATTTCTTCAAATCAATCAGTGATACAGAATAGAAAATCCATAATAATGCAAATAAAACAGTGATGCAAAAATAAAATCTGTGTTAATTAATATTCAAAAAGAATATATATATATATATATATATATAAGTGATGCTTTCAATAATATATGTGACAACCTAACAGAATATAAATAAAAATTCATAAATTGTGATTCTCAATCGAATATACGTGATTAATATTAATTGTGAAAAAACCATACATTAAGCTATTAAATAAATGATCCACTAAATCTTGTGATGTTTAAATATGAAAATGTGTCCACAAATGAACAAAAACAGTCCATGCAATAAGGTGAAAACGACACTCAGTGTTCTTCACTTCTAGTGCTCAAAAAAAGAAGAAATCCTCCAATGGCAGCAATGCCTGCTCACCTCCCCAACTCGACCCGCAAAGGGCCACAAGGCTATAACTCTCCTCCAGGTAATCCTTTGCTTCCAAGCAGCTCAGTAAGGAATCACAGGACCTCCACTCCACCTCCTCTCAAACGTCATATAGGACACAAACAGAGCTTCCCATAGTGTAATACCGTTTATTTAAGACACTCCATATAACATACTGTTTCCACTCACATGCGTTTTCTTAATGGAAAATGCAATCCTCCTCATTCCCTGGGTGCATTCACATGTAAATAGGGAAACCAATATGGCCGCTGTGCTCGGACATCCGTCCCCACGTGACCGGAAGTGATGTGTCTCTGGGCTGGGAAAAGCGTTCCGACGCTTCATCAGGGTACCGCCCCCCAGTGCCATAATATGTTTATATAGGGAATGGTCAAATTACCATTCCCAATAGAAGGGCGGGCTCCCGGCGGCCATTTTACCGGAGCCCATTACCATGAAGGTATATATACCGTAGTAGAGATTGTATTTGGCTACTAAGGGAGAAGGTATGATTAGGTTATCCCCCATGAGTGGGGTTAGGTTCATGGGCTCCGGTAAAATGGCCGCCGGGAGCCCGCCCTTCTATTGGGAATGGTAATTTGACCATTCCCTATATAAACATATTATGGCACTGGGGGGCGGTACCCTGATGAAGTCACGACGCACGTGACGCAACGCGTCGGAACGCTTTTCCCAGCCCAGAGACACATCACTTCCGGTCACGTGGGGACGGATGTCCGAGCACAGCGGCCATATTGGTTTCCCTATTTACATGTGAATGCACCCAGGGAATGAGGAGGATTGCATTTTCCATTAAGAAAACGCATGTGAGTGGAAACAGTATGTTATATGGAGTGTCTTAAATAAACGGTATTACACTATGGGAAGCTCTGTTTGTGTCCTATATGACGTTTGAGAGGAGGTGGAGTGGAGGTCCTGTGATTCCTTACTGAGCTGCTTGGAAGCAAAGGATTACCTGGAGGAGAGTTATAGCCTTGTGGCCCTTTGCGGGTCGAGTTGGGGAGGTGAGCAGGCATTGCTGCCATTGGAGGATTTCTTCTTTTTTTGAGCACTAGAAGTGAAGAACACTGAGTGTCGTTTTCACCTTATTGCATGGACTGTTTTTGTTCATTTGTGGACACATTTTCATATTTAAACATCACAAGATTTAGTGGATCATTTATTTAATAGCTTAATGTATGGTTTTTTTCACAATTAATATTAATCACGTATATTCAATTGAGAATCACAATTTATGAATTTTTATTTATATTCTGTTAGGTTGTCACATATATTATTGAAAGCATCACTTATATATATATATTCTTTTTGAATATTAATTAACACAGATTTTATTTTTGCATCACTGTTTTATTTGCATTATTATGGATTTTCTATTCTGTATCACTGATTGATTTGAAGAAATAATTAAGGGCAAGGAAAGATTTTTTCTATATTTTTTATTGATTTTTTTATTGATTTATTTATTATTTCATATCACGGATTTATTTAATTTATGAGGTATGGTTTTCGTTTAATATTATATGCACTGTGTGTGTATATAGGGATTCACTTTAGCGCTTCACTATTTTTGTGTTTGATACTTTATTACTTATTGGTTAAGGCAGAGTGATAGCAGCTGTTAGGATAGGGACTTATCCATATTAAGCGCAGGAGGATATTCCCATTCTTTATTTGAAAGTTCCACACCACCTATCAAAAAATAAAAGTCAGCAACTACAAAAACTGTAGGTGCTGACTTTTGAAAAACAGCCACTTACCTGTCCGTCGGTCCCATAGTGTGTCCCCCGCAGTTAGTTTCACCGGCTGTCCTGTATTCCAGGAGGCCGGCATCTTCAGTGTGGGCACCTGGCTGTGATAGCTTGCAGCTTCACAGCTGGGTACCCACTGCGCACGTGCAAGTAGCTCTGCGCTTTGTGAATGGTCCTGTAGTCTTCTGTGACCTGTCATGTGTCCCAAAAGACTACAGGGAGGGAGGACCCCTTCCACTCCCGATCACCTAGGCAATCGGACCGGAAGTGGGAGCGGGTACCTGTCAAATTTGGGTACCCGCTCAGCCAAGGTGCCAATCCTTAATGGGGAACAGCCCTTAAAGTGGAACTTCCCCTTTTGGGTGGAGCTCCGCTTTAAGTTCTGGATAGAGTAGGGAAAACTTAGTAGTTGATGCCAGGCCATGAAGTCACAAACAATAATGAGGGTGTTTTTTTCCCACAAGTTTCTTTAAAAAAAAAAAAAAAAGTTGCCCACTGCAAAAGGCGGGAAGTCTCCAGCGCCGCTGCCGCACTTCACGTGCCACCCTTGTGGTTGACATAGGCTACTGTGGGGGCATTGTTTGATTGGATACTGACCAGAAGCCTGTGGAGAAGGGTAGGCCAGTGCATCCGAGGCATCCTAAATGGTCTCAGCTCTATGACCTTGATGAGCAGGTAAACCTCCTCCACAATCCAATGGTCTTATTCTGATCTCAAACCCAAGGATCCTCCCCAGTAGATAAGCTGGCATCCGTAGTAATGACTGTTCAGAGAACGGGGAGGAAGTATTACCCGGCTTACCGGGCAGGAGACTGGAACCACCATAAGAGTAAGGCCCTTGATCATTCCTGATGAATCAGTTCGTCTAGCGAGCTGTAAATTGGTCTAATTTGGACAAGATTTCTACTTTCCGCATGCAAGACGGGGCCGTTCGTGGGACAAGAGTAGTTGGATCACACTCCAAAGCTGCCGGAGATTGTCCACCAGGAGAAACATGTTGGCCCGCTCTGAGTCAAGAATATTCCCCGAACAGGAGACTGGAGTTTTTGGGCCTGACGTCTTTGGTTCCAGACCCATTCAAAGCCCTGCAGGGAGCATCTTGCACTCCTCACATTGTTCATCACCCGGTGAGACAGTCAGTCTGAAGGGAAGTGTCACAAGTGCTTTCCCAAAAGCATTGGAACTGCAGGTCCCTCACACATGGGAAAGTGCAGGTATGCATCCTAGATGTATAAGGTTGCTAGAAGAAACCCGGAGAGGAGAGTCTACCACCAAGTGGATGGATTTCAGGTGCAATTTGCAAGACATCTGCATGCACTACTTTAGAAATTGGTCCGGTTCCAAATCGGAACTGCACAGATATGACCACTCTAATTGCGGACAGTAGGGTGTGACTTGGCATGCGATTTGCAAGTCACATCCTATGTGACCGGGGTGCAAAGCAATTCAATTCCTTTAGACCAATTACAGACGAAACTGGTGTTCCCCAGCCAATACATTACATCATATCCCATCCCATCCCTGGAACGCAAGCCAGCTTCAGATTTCAGGGCGGTGGCAGCCATCTTAACAACAAGTGCTGTATGTACCTGGTGCCAGTTCCTAGGCACCGGTGTAATTGTTAGGTTTATATGATTTCATAAAGTCGGCTGCTTTGCACAATGAAACCTTTCCCTGATACTGTTTTTTGAGTGGTGGTGTATTGCATTCCTGGTACATGTGAATGGTCAGGTTGGTGACAAGACACAGAGTGGGTCTAACCAAAAAAAGCGCAGTGAGACCTATCTAGTAATAGAAGGTCCATCCATTGTGGGGAGTGCAAATCCATGTGGGGTCACCTGGAACAGCTGGAAGTGGTCACCAGTTTTTTCTGTTACTAATGCCACCAGCACCTGTTCACCTATCTTTTGGCTCTCAAGCAACTATTATTTGGATGGGACTTACTGGTACATTGACATGATTTGTATTTTCTCAGGTTGTCCATTTATATAATTTTTTTCTATTTTTTGCATTTCACATGTGGCAAATTGTTAAGTGGTTTTGATTCACATTTTTGGCAGCTCAGTCTATATACACATTTATAACAACAGAGTGCCCACCCCACACAATCTAGGGGGAGGGGAGTAGCAGGAGAGCAAGCCTGTGGGTGGGGGACCCCATAAGGACTTACCACCCAAGGGAGTACCTGCGTTCCACACCGAGTCTGGGGGAGGGGGTATCTACTTACCAATCCAGCAGTGTGTGTACAGGTAACATTTGCAAGACAGAACTCTCCACCAAAGTGAGGGGAGCGGTCGTCCAGGGTAACACTGACACGGACTCCAGCGCTCAGCGATATGTGTCCCCAAGAGACATTTAACTAGCTGGCTGCCCCAGTCCAGAATGAGGCATGTGGTAGCCGACCAAGTACTTAGCTAAAAGTCTGAGCGCGTGCTGGCCACACTTGGGTGAGCACTAGATCTATATTATCCAGCCCGTCGCCCGGCTGTTGACAGAAGGTCTTTACAGGAAGACATCCCAGGAAAAAAGACAAAAAAATTAAAAAGCTATGGAACTGCAGATCACAGCAGGGAACCAGGTCCTCGCTCCTGAACACTAGGCAGAGAAAAAAAAAACTAGATTGCTTATACCAGAAAGGGATTTTTATGCCAGAAGGGACTGCCCGTAGGCAGTGCCAAGTTCTTTTCTGCCTAGTGTCTTACTCCTGTAGGTGTCGGTATAACCCTATGGTCAAGATTCAGAAGAGCTTTGTCCATCAATGACTGCAAGAAAAATTGGAATTTACCCAAGGGGTACGAGCTCTGTTATATTCAAACAAAACATTATACTGTACCTCTAGCCTTGTCGCATGCCAAACTGAATGTCCTACTCACTTAACACCTTTTGAAAACTACTTCCTGAAGGATTCCTATTCTAGGGGCTTAGTTTCAGCTATATGTGTATCACTCAAAAGACTCCATGGACCCAGCTAAATTTCCATATATGGACAAGTGGGAAAACCCTTCACCAAGCAGACTGTAACAAAATGTGGATAACCAAATCAAAATGCTCTCTTAATATACTTGCTGAAGAAAATGCATATTATTTATTATTATTATATATATTTAAAAAAAAAAGGTATTTTTGTGCTGGTATATGACCCCTGAACATAAAGCCAAATTTGTTCCCAGTGCTCCCCCAACTTGCCTTTTGGGCTTCGGAGAGTTTGGTACCTTTTTTTTAAATTTGGTGGTCCTCCCCCAAGGCCCCTCTTTTGGATACAAGTATATAAAATGCTGAGATGGGCTTATTAATACTATTTGTAATCCCCAAAGGCGTTATTACACAGACCCATCTCAGATCTCAGTAGGCATGGGTGGGGGCTTACATTGCTAGCAGCCAGACATTACCTAAACAACTAATTTTTCTGGTGTAAAACAGAGACTCACTGGCACCATGGTGCACAAGAAACTTACCACTATACTTACCAATATTAATATTATACAGTATTTATATAGCGCCAAAAGGTTTGCTCAGCGCTGTACATTATAGTGGGAGACAGTACATGAGACAATACAGCAGCAAAACAATACATGAGGGGTTCGAGGGCCCTGCTCTTTCGAGCTTACAATCTAGAAGTGGTACAGGAGGAAGTGGCTTTGGGGGATGGAGTGGTAGGAGGAGTGGAGGAGATCGGCTGTTAGGTGAGGGTGGGGTAGGCTTCCCTGAAGAGATGGGTTTTCAGGGTGCACCTAAAGGTAAAAAATATATATATATAATTTTTTTGAGGTTTTTTTTTTACCATTTACATGTCATCAGAGTAGTTCAGTGTCACCATAGTGACTACATAACTGAATTAAATTGTGTTTTTTACACTCTGAATTACTTTCACATGAGCATCTATAAAGACTAGTTTCAAGGTTGGATTTCTTGAAGTCTCAAAGACCATGCTGGCCCTGTGCCCCCCTTCAGATGTGCCAATGACACATAAAAAAAATAGCATAACAACTGATCAATGTGGAAATAGGTCACAATAATATATGAGGACTAATAAATATTCTTTAATTCAAGTTTCTGGAAAAATAAATTAGGACATGCTAGAACAATAGGCAGCTTTGACTATTATCAGGTCCTTTGAGCTTTAAGGTTTTTCAAGATCTTGGGCACAAGCAATTACGCAACCAATACCCACACTAACTTTCTCAAGGTCTGGACCCTGTGGTTGGACTAAAATAATCACATGAAACTGGACCAATCCCTCCTCTCTCTATAGCTGGTGAGACCAGCATACGCTGGTTTATTTGTTTGGTCCAGCCTCAAGGGACCTCCCCCCTTGCTATTTCCCTTTTTAACCCATCCCCATACCCCAACAAGTTTTTATCCTGTACATACTTTCTCTTTACTTCCTCTCTTCCTATTCCCTCTCTCCTATTTAGCATGCTTCCTTGTAATTTATATTGATATTGCCACTTTTCCTCTATTTATATAAGGCTAATTCTTGTCTTACCTAAGAGAAATTCCCATAAGGGTGTTTGTTCTTTGCCCAGACTACCTTACTCATAGCATGTATTATTACTTGGAGCTGTTACTTCATCTTGTTTCTGTTATGTCTTCTCTTCATGCTGATCCACGCAAATATCTGCTGTGCATTTTACCAAAAACCAAAATTCCATAAAACTTTTGTGAAATAAAAAGTATATTCAGGTTTGATAACTAGGGATGATAAAATTCTTCAGTAATATGCACACAAGGCAGGAAGCGACTCTGTGGCCTCAATCAATGCCTAGAGCCAGTAACCTAAGCAATGTTGTTTCTAAGGTACTGATGGGGAAATATGCCAGTTAATTTCATTCTGCATGTCTGGGTACAGCCGGTGTTAATGGGGATGTGTAATGTCAACTTAGAGTTTACTTACCTCGTTCCATTTTAGAAAGTATTTATAGTCTGAATGGACCCTTTCAGTTGGTTTGTCTTCAGATATAATGAGCATAAGAGTTTTCCTACAAACATACCAGTATATTAATGACTACTTAAGTATTCATATTTTCTCAAAGAGACTTGTATACAAAATGACAAATAGTAAATTTGCATAATGCCCTAACAAGAACAAAAAATGTACAAGGCCAGCTCAATCTGTAGTCAAAAATTGCCAACTTACCCATCATTTGTTGTATCAAGTTTAGGATCCATGTCTCCAATACCAACACATAACACCCCTGTTTATAAGTAATAAATATATAGTTAAGAACTTCTTAAGACTTGTGTAAACAGATATTCCCTGGTCCTCAATCTTTTAGTATGTGCACATGAAAATCATATCCAAAATGGAAGACAGGCAAGCATCCAGAGTTTTTAATGCTCCTGAACCCCATACCTGGCACATTTCCTTCTGTTAGACCAAGTATTTTGCCTTCATTTTATTTAGACTTTTAATTCCATGTTCCCCTGCATTGTGACTGGTAAAGCTCTACTGTGCATTAATGAAGTATTATCTTAACGCTGCAAAGATAGTGAAAACATTTGCTGTAAACCACTGTGTATACACATAGTAAAACCTAGCAATAACTCTTCCTATAGATATGTTTCTGTTTCTAAAGACACAATACATGAGCTGGAGCTACAGAGGTTGCCATCTTCGCACAACAATCTGATCAGCCCTGTGCCATAGTCATGACCATTCTGGTACTATGGTAAGTTTTAAAGTAGAACTATATGCAAAACACTTTTTTTCCCATGTTGGATAGAGCAAGGGAGAGCGTTATAACCCCAGTATTTTTTTCTCTCATAGTTTGTGTGCCATTGATGAGATCTTCCTTCACTTCCTGTGCCATAGCGAAATGGGAAATGAGAGGAAATCCCTGCAAATTAAGGGAATTCCTCGGGGACTCCCAGGTCACCAGAACTAGTTTTCCCATCTATTACTTTTCTGGGGACAACCCGAAATTTGGGATTTTCTTTTACTTTCACTGATAACGAACGATAAACAAGACAAATAGAGAGGCTGAATCTCCTTAACAAGGACAGCAATAAAAGCTAACAAGTGTTCTAATCCCTCTCCACTCTATCCAAAACTAAAAAAAAAAAAAAAAAGGTTTTGCGTTCCGTTACACTTCAATTTTAGACGTGATGCCTGTGGCAATTACATTTAAATGGCAACATATGGATTGAAGTTCAGCAGGGAACACCTGATGGGGTTCTAACCCTTTCTTACTCTATCTAAAATAGATAAAAAAAAAAAATTTTGCATTAAGTTTTACTTTTGACTTTTATCCACAAATCTCTGAAGAAAAGGAAATCATGCCCCAGTATAGCACAGTACATGAAAGTCTTTAACATTCCACTTCCTGGTCCCTGGTTCTGCGAGTGGTCATTACAGGAGTGGGAAAATTCTTGACATGTCAAACTGGCATGCATAAGCATCACAGACTACCAGAGTGCAGCCAGGCCATCGCTGCAAAGCCATTCACCTTAAATGGCACATAGCTGTGTGTTGTTCTCAAGATTTTGTGCTGTGATCTCTTTTCTCAAGTTAGTGTCCTTCCTTTTCTCTAAGCCTAACATCTACCAACTTTGACTTAAAATGCCAGGGGACAGAAATCACCCAAAACGCAAAGATGTTGCCTTGTCAAACACTCAAACAAACACAAACACACACACACACCTAAATGCATAAAACAGTTACATAATCAAAACCAGTAGTCTACATTTATTCCTAAAGAACTTTGATATTTGACACAGTTATGCACCCTCAACATTTTTCTGAATAGTCAGATTCTGGCATAAGCCTAGTTGTAACCAGTTCCTTTTAATAACAGAGTAACAGCAGTGATGTGTAGTAACTATATCAATTAAGGTGAAACTTGCTTTTATTAGCCCGTTCACATTAAGCTGATTCCTTTATTGATAGCAATTTGCAATGGTACACAATTTACCTAGTTTTCTTTTGGGGCCCATGCTGCCTTTTCAAAATAGGACTAAACTTGGGTCAAGTCTGGTGGTTCAGACTCTGCATTTATGACCATCTTCATACACTTTTTGATGTCAACATGAACTACTTGGCCACTCACTAAATTTAAAATGGATAATGCATAGCAATGAAAAGAAGCCCACCATTCTAATCTGCTAAAAACTTACCAGAAATTTTCTAGTAACAGAAAATCAACTTGATTAAACCAGCATGAAGCATTGCAAGGCAGCACATGTATGCATACACACCAATGTGGTAATTCATGTGCAAGTTTTTTTTTTTTTTTTGTAAGACATTCAAAATAACCTACCGTTTCAAGCTCAAGCGAGTAACATGCTGCAATGCAACTTGGGTTGAGAGAGATGAGTTTGAGGATAATGCAATACAATTTTTTGTCTAACAGAAAAAAAAGAAAATGTGAACCGATAAGCACTCTGGCATACATTTGATATAAACTGGTAAACTTAAAATCTCTTATTTTTTTAGATTAATTTATTTCATTCATTTAGATGATTTTAGTGTCATATGTAAAAATGATATTAAGTCCTCATGCACACTGGACGTTTTGATAACGCTATTAACATTACCTCTGTAAAGTCACGTTAAAAAGTGAGTTTTCAGCTTTTTTAGCATTTTTGCATTGGCGTTTACCTGTGTTTTGCGTTTAGCAGTTTGACCAAAAACAAAAATTTGGTTTTGGTCAAAAAAAGTCCAGAAACGCCGGTTTGCGGCCTCTTACCATGTTTTTCAGCGTTATAGCGTTTTTACAGCTAAAAACTCTTCTAGAAACCCACAAGTCCTGGGTTTTTTTTATCCAGCCAAAAAACATTGATTACAGCCTATGTGTGCATGGACACATGGGATAACATGCTGGGGGGTTTACTAGCTGTAGAAAAAAAACGTCAAAAGCCAAAAACAGCAGCTGTAAATACGTTCAGTGTGCATGAGGACTAAAGCAGAAAAGTCACTCCATTTCATGATAGTAACAGTCAAACGTGCAATCAAAACTTATCGCAGATTGACCGACTTTGTAACTACAGTGTCATGAAAGGAGGGTAGTGTAGAAGAAGCCAAAGAGAAGGTGGGAGTAGCAGAAAGGGGAAACAGATAGCAACAGGAGAGATGGGTTTATGGACACATATTAATTATGATTTGTAAAAAAAATTAGTTATTAATGACAAGGATAATAAAATAATGCTTTAGACAAATAAGAGTTACATTTGTCTGGAATGACATGAGCTTGTGTGCAGCTGTTTGTGATGGCAGTTGTTCCCTGGACACACCTCTGTACCAATTACATCCAGGCACAAGGCAGTGTAGTAGAGGGAGCAGAAGTGAGGGATAGCCAAAACCCTCCAGCAGGAGCAGAGGTCCCCCCAGACCCTCATCCAAGGTCATCCCAAGCCCACCGGTGCTCATAGCCTGGACATGGTGTGTGCCAGCTGCGGGACAATGTAAGTGGGGCAGGGTCTCTGCTGACCAGGATGCTGACCTAATATGAGCAAATAGGCCGAGGAAGGGAGTAGACTAGGCCGCGTGCAGAGTGTTGACAGAGTGGGAAGATGGGAGAAGTCATTTTGTAAAGAGAGCACAGAGGAGTCAGGAATACTGACAGGGCCCTGATCCCACTGATCCCAGAACACACCGTGGGACATAGTTCTCAGGTCACACCACAGTACACAGATGTCACAGGACACCTGTCGGAAAAGTGGGACTGTTGGTAACTATGGGATTATATATACATAACAATCCAGATTGAAAGTACAACTAAAGACTACTATATATCAGTCTAAACAAGTTGTAAATTCAGTTTCTAGGTGATGTATAAGCCTCAAAGTAAACAAAAACTTTTTACCTTCCCTGACTAAGTCAAATTCTCCTTCATGTGTCCCAGATGATCCCCTGCCAGACACTGCAGCTCACAATTGGGGGGGGTAGCAATAAAGGCAGTACTGACAGTTCAGAAAGAAGTGGGCATGACTAAATGTGGCCATATGCTGTAGCTTGTGAATCAGCAGTGAAAATGCTGATAGCCATGCCCCCTACAACATTTGTTCACCCCACTGTAATGCAAGCATGCACAGCCTACATGAGAGTTGCAACTCTGTTTTGAATTTAGCAGCAGAGCAGCATCATTGTTGCACGGTCGCAGGCAGCTGCATTAAGTGGACTTCAGTCAGGTATCTGTGGGACTTTGCAAGAAGACCAAGAGAAATATGTAACTACAGATGCACATATAGTTAACTGCTGCAGTACAAATTATTTGGAGGTTAAAGTTCTACTTTATATCATTGAAATATGCACAATAGCTTATTAAAAACATGCACAATAGCCTAATAAAAAAAAGTGTAATAAAAAGAGTACAATGTATTTGAAACCTACCTGTCTGTTTGTAATTTTATCAATAGCAGTTAATGTTTTGGTCAAAGATTCCAGCAGGCTTTCATTGACCAAATCCTCTTGGCTGAAAACACTGAATGTAGAAATAGAAGGACATTTAATTGGAATGGATACCTATGCCATTAGTTCTACAGACAAGCTCTATTTAGAGAAATCGTCTTTAAAGGGTCTAGAATATCATCGCTCAATATACCATATAACCTATTATTTATATAGCTCTTTGGCAGTGATGCATTTAAATGCCTGTAAGGGATTTAAAGTAAAGTATAGCCAAAGCTCTCCAGTCAAGTGTTGGGATCCATCCAGATGCCTGATAAGCAGCTGGCTTAGCCTCTCAGGGCGCCGCTGAGATCCTAAGCCAACTGCTTCCGCCCCCTCCACAGCCCGGGACTCCAGTGAGTGCTGGAGGGGCAGAGCGGACCTGAGAAGTGAGCCCATCAGTGGTCATGTTATCACTCTGTTCTTGGGCTTAGAGCTGGTGGGGGACAACTGCAGCATCACACCGCAGCCATATAGGCAAGTATGTGTGTTTTTGTTTGTTTCCTGCACTTCTCCTTTAAGTAGGAACTACAGTATAGTGTATTTGCAGTAAAAACACATTTTGAGCTATTATTGTATTGGTGTCATTTTCCATTATGTGCTTTGCTATTCCAAAGCTTCCATGATGGCATTTCATGCACAGATTTTCTTCCTTCTATTCCACATTAGCAGCATATACACAGAACTCTCCTAGATTTTGCCCTCTAGCAGCTATCTGTATGTCAGACAAGTCTCCACCCACCATCCTGAAATGAGGAATGGTCCATTTATTTTTTGAATTTGTGATAGAATTAGACATGTAAATACCCTCTCTTCTAAGAAGGCTCTGCTTTGTACATAGACAGCTTTCTATATGCATAATGTTGCCTACTAATTTTAACTAAAATAAATATTAAAAAATTAAAAGCAAAAATATCTTTTAAAGTGGTTCCAAAGCCTTAAGGTGTTTAACTTAATGCATTTGTGCATTAAGGTAAAAAATGTTTCTGTGCTGCAGGATCCAACCCAGCCGCCCCCCCCCCCCCCCCCACACACTTACCTGAGCCAAATCCTGATCCAGCGATGTGGACAGCAGCGGCTCTCAGCACTCTTTCCCTCCTCACTGGGCAGACTGACAGTAGCAGCAGTCAATGGCTCCCTCTGCTATCAATCATATGCTGTGTAGAGGGAGTGGAGGGCAGGAGCAAGCAGCCTGGTGTGTGTCAATGGATGCAGACAGGGAGCAAGTCCGCATGAGTGCCCCCATAGAAAGATGCTTTTTATGGGGGCACTAGCCAAAGATGAGGAGCCTGGAGAGCTGGTGGGGGACTACAAGAAAGGATCGGGGTTGCTCTGTGCAAAACCATTGCACAGAGCAGGTAAATATAACACGTTTATTATTCTAATAAGAAAAAACTGACGCTTTAGTGTTGCTTTAACACCAGATACACATGAATGCCATTTATATCCTATAAGTGTGTTCAGTAATAAATCAAGTTGGTGGCTTATCTCCAGACTTATGATGGAAACCATGCCGTGACAGAAAATGTACAACTCAGCTCATGAACCTTTTCTTGACAGTAGTGGTCCTCAATATTCTAAATTTGGGCCCATTCGCAGCAGATACATTGTCATGAATTCTGATGCATTTTCAAGCTTTGGCAAAAAAACATGGACATGAGAAAATCCACTGTTATTTATGCAGACCATTCATATCAGCACATGTTCAGGTACATTGTGAAAAATCCTTGCACTCTGTATTTTTGATGTGTTAGCCTGCATTTATTTACTCAAGTCATCTGAATGTAATGTATTCAACACACGTGGCTACACAGATCCAACACATTAATGCATTTTCAAGCACATCTAATGATGTCCCTTAGGGCTAATTTACACTAGTGTTACTCTCTTACCCTAGGTTCACACTTAAGCATTTACCACAGTGTGTTGCGTTTTGCAGAAATGCACTACAGTCCATTTAACATGATTTCCTATGGGACACGTTCGCATCTCTGCGTATACACCCAGTGCGCTTTTTGGGTCAGGGCTTTTTTTAACGCAGAAAGTTGTGTTTTTGGTTCTATAGACTTCAATGGCAACACTGCAGAAAAGTATGCAGTGCGTTTTTAATGTGCTTTTTGCTTTTTAATTCTGCCTAGCAAGTAAAAAAAAAAAAAAAAAAAACCTGCAAACCGCATCAAAAATGCAATGCAGAAACGGACCAAAGGAAAACTGCATAAGTGTGAACCTAGCCTAAAGTCCGATTTTTGGATTTTCCTTTACTTCTGTGCTTGGTCCTAATGGTAAACAGGCCAAATAGAGAGGAGCAGAGGCAGCAATAAAACCTGACCGATGTTCTCATCCCACACCACTCTATCCAAGACTTTAATAAATGGTCTTGTCTTTAAGTATACTTTGAGCCAGGGGTCCTCAAACTTTTTAAACAGGGGGCCAGTTCACTGACCTTCACACTGTTGGGGGGGCCGGACTATAGTTTGAAAAAAATATGAACACCGTACATATCTTATTTGTAGTGCAAAAAACAATTCAATATTTAAAATGCATTGCACACAGTAATGCACTGGACTTCATAATGCACTGGACACCGCAATGCACTGTAATGCACTGGACACCACAATGCACTGTACACTAACGCACTGGACACTGTTATACACTGTACATTAATGCACTGGACACTGCAATGCACTGTACACTAACGCACTGGACACTGTAATACACTGTACATTAATGCACTGGACACCACAATGCACTGTACACTAACGCACTGGACACCGTAATACACTGTACATTAATGCGCTGGACACCGCAATGCACTGTACATGAATGCACTGGACACCGCAATGCACTGTACATGAACGCACTGGACACCGCAATGCACTGTACATGAACGCACTGGACACCGAAATACACTGTACATGAACGCACTGGACACCGCAATGCACTGTACACTAACGCACTGGACAGCGCAATACACTGTACATTAACGCACTGGACACAATGCACTATACATTAACGCACTGGACACTGCAATACACTGTACAAGAACGCACTGGACACCGCAATGCACTGTACACTAATGCACTGGACACAATGCACTGTACACTAATGCACTGTACACTAATGCACTGGACACAATGCACTGTACACAATGCACTGGACACTAACGCACTGGACACAATGCACTGGACACTAACGCACTGGACACCACAATACACTGTACATTAACGCACTGGACACAATGCACTGTATATTAACACACTGGACACCACAATACACTGTACATTAACGCACTGGACACCGCAATACACTGTACATTAACAAACTGGACACCGCAATACACTGTACACTAATGCACTGGACACCGCAGTGCACTGTACACTAACACACTGGTAGCATATGTGTTGCCAAATTAGTCTAAAACTATACTATAAAAAAGGCTTATGAAAATTTATGTGAATCCTTTTTACATTATATTAGGTACATTCTAAATAATACTATGTAATATATTCTAAAATAGATACCTTACTGCAGCCTTTACTTGCTCACTGGCCGCTGTGCTCTCTTCCACCTGCACATTAATAGCCAGTCCAGAAGTGTCTGCTTTGGGAGGTAGTATGCAGGTTGTGGACTGAGGGATAGCATACAGGATTTTCTTCATATGATTTTCAAGAAATTCATCAATGGTGGAAGAATCCATATGTGGGCGGCTGGCTGTAGACAAACCCTTAGTACTTGGCTCCTGTATCAATCTAGTTTCTGTTGTAATGGAACACAATACATACAAATAAAACATACATATTCAAGTCATACAAGATATTTCTCAAGTGATTATTATTTGCAAAGTGAAGTTTTACCTCATTTAATAAACTCTGGAGCAACTGCACTTTGCAAAGTGCACTGTCAATTTGCCTTTATTAAATTAACTTCCAATGTTCCTTGCTGACTATACACTGCCCCAAACACCTCATGAGTTTTATTACTGCCTAATTATGTCACCCATCACAGCGATGGCTCCATAGAATGACACTGTATAAAAAAAGGAGACAGAATACTAGTGCCAACAAACACGGATATGGGCAGCATGCAGGTTCCTGCAGGTGCCAGCTATGCAGGTTAACTAATGATTTTTTTTACTTTTTTTTCATTCATAGGATTGCATTATAGGTGAAATGTATACATTTTTCTATACACGATATTCTATTAGTCAATAACATTCAGAAAGTTTAACAGGATAGTTAAAATGTACAAATCTATACTATTCAGGATTTTGGGGCTACAGTAATGGTCAAACATGCAGGGGGACCCGGATTTAACTGTCCATGACGCTAAACCTACATAGAGTCTAGGCTTCGTCGGACACAGTTGGCAAACCCCTGGAGGTGTCCTCAGGGTCTAGGTTCCATAGGGATAGACAACGGCCCTAGACCTGTAAAACACCGTGTAGCTAACTACACCCTTTGTATAAAATGCCGAAGTGACATTTCAGGCTATTCCCACGATCTGATCTGGATGCACTCTGTTGTTGCATTAGAAAACATTGAAGAGCTGGATTGAAATATTGATTGAAACTTCCAAAAGGGAAAATAATAAACTAGCTAAACTTAAGCTAATAGGGATTTCCCCATAAGGAAGAGGAGGTCCATCAGTTTCGGAGCAAAAACGTAGGGTAGGGTTATAGGGGGGAGGCCCAGGGGACATGTCCTTAAATGCTTGCCAGTGTCCAATCACCTCAAGGTACCAGTCTATAACCCAGGGTCTATGAACTGTAAGATTAATATATATATTTTTATTTCATGTACATTGAAGGACAGTGGAAGTCTTTTAACCTTTCAGATGTACAAAACAATTCAAGCTAGCCATACATGGATCAAAATTTGGATCTATGTATGGACTAGCTGGTTGTACAAAAGTAGATCTATGGATTCACTAGTGTACAACCAGCCTGTTGGGTTTTTCCCAAATGATCAGCGCCGCTGGCTATAGCCGACATCACTAAACATTGTATTCTGCCTTAAATTCTTGCCACTGTCCAATCACCTCAAGGTACCAGCCTATACCCAGGGACTGTGAATATTCAGCCTGTGTCCTGTACTGTAAAATTAAGATACATTTTTCTTTCATGTCCATTGAGGGATACTGGAAGTTTTTAACCTTTTCAGATATACAAAACAAGTCAGCTGAAGAGTAGAAAATGAAACTATCACTAATAGGCTGAAGAGAAAGCAACAGGAAAAACTGGTGACTGTCTGCAGCTTAAAGACCCCATTAAGGACCTTAAGCTGGCCTACATGGATCAAAATTTCAATTAATGTATGCGCTAGCTGGCTGTACACAAGTTGATCTATCGTTGGACCAGCTTATCATTTTTATCCTTAAACGATCGGTACAGCTGGCAATACTGATCATTGTATTTTGCTGTAGGAAAAAGCTCCCCACCAGCAGAATACAATAACCCATTGGGAAGGATTCCCCTATCCACACTTAATGTATGGATGGAAGAATCAACTTTTTTTTTTTGCGTTCAACACCCGAAAAAAATGAATCATGTATGGCCTGCCTTACTCCCAAAAGTTGACTTCAGATGAAGCCAAAACACCCATCTTGTAAAACTTAGAGAAGATATAAAAACGCAAATGCAAATGTGAGGAACAGTTACCTGATGTCAATAATCCCAAAGTCACTCACACATCTAATAGAGTACACCTTTACAGGAACAGAAGAAACAGATCCTTAAGACAGACACTCTCAGAGATAATGACTACAAGGAAAACCACCTTGTTTGTGGGAGCAGAGAGAGGAATGTTTTTGGTGTGTTCAGTAGGTGTTTTAGAAACACAGCCAGTTTCAGATCCCATGGAGTCATAGGGGAAAGGATGCAGGAAGCTACATGGGAGACCCCATTCACAAAAAGGGTCTTGATCAGAGATTGAGAGGCCAATTTCCCCTGAAACAGAATAGAAAGGACAGAAACTTGACCCTTCACAGAGCTGGGAGATAAGCACTGGTCCATACCCAGCTGCAGAAAGGAAAAGATATGTCTCACAGTGAAACTCCTGGAGTGAAAGCCCAGAGATTTAAACAAAGTTAGGTATCCTGTCAGTACCCAATGAAAGACCTTGTGGGAAAGTAGATTTCCTAACTTTCACAGAAATCAAAGACACAGATAATGCCCTGTCCCTCAGAACCTGTATTCAACAGCCATTAAAGCCAGCAGCCGAGAAGCAGGGTGGCAAAATCAGTCCTTGGGACAAAAGATCCTGATGATCTGGCAAAGCCCATTGCGTGTCTTAAAAAAGCAGGGTGTAGCGCTAAAATAACAGCATTATTATGCTGTTATCTTAGCGCTACACCCTGCTGTTATGATTTATATGAAGGTTTATATAGTACCTTGGTGTTTAGCTGCTGTTCTGGTTTTAAGCGGTCGCTTTGCTTTTTGAATACCATTGCGTGTCTGCCAGAGGTTTTATCTGGTGAGCATACCACAACTGCCAGGGCTAGACCACAGAAATGAAGATCACCTGCGATGCAGACAAGGAAGATGTTTCAGGAGTGGACAGATGTAGAGAAGGGTGTACTGTTCTCATGGATCCCTGTACCTTGAGACAAATCAGTGCAGTTTATTGTTCAACCTGGAGGCAAGGAGGTACTGATCTGATGTCCTTCACCACAGGATCCAGGACACAGATCCTGAACACCTCCAGGTGCAAGATGGCCCAACACTGCAGACACAGCCAATAGCTCAAAGTTCTAGGATGTGAGCAAAAGGAGACTCCCCCCAGCATCCCCCCCTCCCACCCCAGCTTGATGAGCTAGCATACGTCATTAGGATCCTGCAAAAACAGGTATGAAGGACTTCCAAACATCTGGATTCCTGACCCACCGAACCAGGGACAACCTGGTCCTCGGTAAAAGATGAAGTGGCCTGTCCAGAGACCAGATCAACTTGTCCTACAATGACAGAATGTTACATTGTAAAGGCCTGATATAAAACTGGAACTACCCCGAATCAGACCTAGGAACCCCATGCAAAAGCAGAGGGCTGAACGATTCCTAGACTGGGAGAGTTTGAATCTTAGACCTGAAGTCTGTCCTATGGAAGGAATACCACTGAGCTGTGTCCTGATTTCATTACTCATTAGAACAGTGACCGTGAACTGTCAACAATCTAGTAGTTCATTTGAATTAAATAAAATACAGATATTTTCATAAACATGGTGTAGAACAGAAGAAAATGTAAATTTACCATCATGCAATAAACACTTCCAGTATGGAGCATGCACATGTCTTGCATTCTGTATGGATTCTAACGCACTACAAAAAAAAAAATATATATATATGAGGGACTGCCTTTATGGGTCAAAATAACAGAACACTCTAGAGATAAAGGATCAATTTCTGTAATTTATTTAGCTAGAGGATGCTTAATCTGTGAAAGTCTGATGGAAGGTTGTAGTTAAAGATGAAAGCAAAGCAAGTAAAAAAAAGAACACACATCATGCAAGTATGGATACAACATTAAAAATCAGAGTATTTTAAAAAAGCAACTAGTGTATGTACCTGAATGTCACTTGGTATAAGCCTCTTGAAATCCCTGACTGGAGAAGGAGAAGCAGCTCAAAGAGCCAATCAATCAGTTGTGCTGTCATGATCATGTGTTAACATGACAGTAGAAGAAAGCAGAGTGACAAAAATAAATGCATCAGTCTGCTGCTTCTTCACTGTCCAGTCAGAGGATGGGGGTAGGAACAAACCTAGTCATGGTGCTTAAACTGAGCTGAGAAAAGTCAAGCCTCCATGCTGGATGCCCATTTTGACAGAGCTAAGTAAATGTCAAAATAGAACTTAATTCTGTGTACAGCAAATCCAGGTATTACCATAACCACTTAAGCTCTGGAAGGTTTTACCCCCTTCATTACTAGGCCATTTTTTGCTATTCGGCACTGCGTTACTTTAACTGGTAATTGCGTAGTCATGCAATGCCGTTTCCAAAATGAAATTTATATCACTGTTTTTAAACACAAATAGGGCTTTTTTTTGGTGGCGTTTGATCACTACTAGGTTTTCTTTATATAAATTGGGAATTTATTATTTTGGGGAAAATTTTCATAAATTTAAAATGCATTTGGCTACATGTCTTTAGTGGGGGGGCGCTTTATTCATTGGTTTGTGTGAAAGTTAAAGCGTCTACAAATGATGGTGTGTATATACTGGATTTTTAAATCATTTATTTTTTTATACTTGTAATGCCAATATTGAGCGACTTATAGTGGGACTGTTATAGTACGGAAGACAATCTGACACTGACGCTGGGTGGGAACTGACTAAATGACACTGACATCTTTTGCGACACTAATACAGCGATCAGTGCTAATAATATACACTGTCACTGTACTAATGACACTGGCTGGGAAGGGGTTAACATTTAGAACGATTCAAGGGTTAACTGTGTGTCTACCAATGTTTGCTATGTGTAAGGTTTGCTGTTTTTACTAAACAATGTGCTGTTTTTACTCCCTGCTTCATCAACACAGGGCTCTCTTCTGTCATTAGCTCAGCGGTTTTCGGCCATAAATCATTGTCCTGGAGCTGCTGATCAGCATGTGCTGTAGAGAATGAAAGAACAGCTGGGCAACGGGCACATACCCCCTATCTAGAAGAGCCGCATTACGTACATGTATGTGATCCAGCGCAGCTGGACTTCTCTGCCGCAGCATGTCTGCGGTCAAGAAGTAGATAAATAGGAGCAGTGATGTAATCATTGTGCTGTGCATAACCTGACCTGTGCTGAGAGCAGAGCTATATGAGGAGCCCAGCAGGCCCACCCACTAAAGGCTGTCTGCAGATCTGCAGGGCAGATACAAGGCCAGTTGCCCTGTACAAGGAGAGACAGCAGTGATCGGTTCCTGGTTTGTCACAGGAAGTTCCTGCACAGAGACAGTTTCAAGCTTGATTAAAGCACAGATCTGTAAGAAATACGCAAAGCACATGAAGATTACAATATAAATATGCATGCCTCTTGTATGGTAGACATGAAGATTTAGACAATAGTGGTCTTACTTATCCTGGAATCCAGGTTTCAATATAAATCTATAAATGACCAGGGTTCCTTAATATACACCGATCTGCAATAATTTTATGACCACCCAACTAATATTCAGCAGATCCACCTTTTGCAAACATAACAGCCCTGACCCATCAAGGCATGAATGCCACTAGACCTCTGAAGGTATGCTGTGGTATGTGGCACCAAGCTGTCAATAGCAGATCCTATAAGTTGCGAGGTGGGGCCTCCATGGATTGGACTTGGCTTTCCAGCAAGTCCCACAGATGCTTGATTGTATTGAGATCTGGAGAATTTGGAGGCCAAGTCAACAGCTCAAGCTTGTTTTTATGTTCCTCAAACCATTCTTGAACCATTTTTGCAGTGTGGCAGGGCACATTATCTAGCTGAAAGAGGCCATTGCCATCAGGGAATACCGTTTCCATGGAGGGGGAATGTCTAGGTAGGAGGTACGCATCAACTAACATGAATGGCAGGACCCAAGGTTTCCCAGCAGAACAATGCCCAAAGCATCACACTGATATCACTGGCGTGCCTTCTTCACATACTGTATTCTGGTGCCCTCTATTTCCCTGGTAATTGCCCCATGCATCCGGCCATGCACATGATGTAAACAACCCCAAAACAAAAAAATAAAACCCTGATTTGCCGGATCATGCCACTTTCTTTCATTGTTTTGTGATGCAGTTCTGAGGCTTATGTGCCTATTTTTATGCGCTTTTGGCTGTGGACATGGGTCAGCCTGGACACCCTAACCGGTCTGCGACTATGAAGCCCCATAAGCAAGAAACTGCAATATTTTTTCTGCTTTCAACGCATCAATTTCAGGGACAACATTTTTACTTTCTGCCTAATATATCCCAACTTTCAGATGCCATTGTAACAAGATAATCAATGTTATTTGCTTAACCTGTTAGTGGTTATAATGTTACAGATGATTTATATGCAAGCATACCTGAAACATGGCACCATTTCTCCTGATAACCTTGGCAAAGGATCTCCAAGCAATGTTCTTACAGTCATGGAGACAGATTCTGACAAGGATCTCAGATGATATCCACCCTGTAAAAAAGACACAAGATTGTGTGAAATTCAACATAATAGATTGTCACATTTAAATAAACAGCCTTGACTGACAGAATGCACAAAAGGATAGCGCTATTAATGCAATTTTGTTCATTCAAAACAATTTTTACTGGGGTGACATAATAATAATGATCAGTTTGGCAAAACAAATTATTCTGTACTATAACAATGGCACCTTTGATCATCCCAGCCAGACAGCATAGTCAGGATTTGACTGTAGTTAAATAATACAGTTTCACAGAGCTGACTCCAGACTTTTTAACAATAAAGGAGCAGCAGCACACCAATAAGAGCAACACTCTATCAATGAAGGAAGGCAGATTTGCCTTCCTTGGTTAATATGTTTTTTTTTGTGTTGGAGGGGTAGATAAGTTGTGTTATGTTGGTTTATTACTTTTTAAGATCATCACTCTGCATCCTATAGAATCCTGCAGAGCCTGACTTGCTCACAGTGCATGGTATATTTACTTTATAGTGTATGCAAACTCTAGCAATGAACGTCTTGTATTTGCTCCTCTTTGGTCTGTTAACCGCTTGCAACCCAAGCCTATTCTGACACTTCTCACATAAATGTAAAAATCATCTTTTTTTGCTAGAAAATTATTTAGAACTCCCAAACATTGGATATATTTTTAAGCAGAGGCTATAAAGAATAAAATGGTGGGTACTGCAATTTTTTTTTTATGTCACACGGTATTTGTGCAGCAGTTTTCAACCGCAGTTTTTTTTAGGGAAAAAATACATTTGAATGGATTTTAATGCACAAAAACATGATATAATATGCAACTCTTTAGTAAAATATAAAAGATGTTAGGCCTAGGTAGTTGACATGTCACCCTTTAACATTTTGCCTATGGAGATTTTTAAGTACTATGCACAATTTTAAAGCCTTTACAGGTTATCAGTTTAGAGTTACACAGCAGGTCTAGTGCTAGAATTATTGCTCTTGCTATAATGTTCCCAGCGATTCCCTTATATGTGCTTCGAACAGCGTTCACATATGCATGCGCGACCTATGTATGCAATCGCCTTTGCGCGCCAGCATGAAGAACAGGGGCACTTTAATATTATTTATTTTATTTACACGGTCTCCTTTTTTTAAATCACTTTTATTGCTATCACAATGTATGAACAACATCCCTTGTGAAAGCATGGGTAGTGACAGGTACTCTTTACTGTGACATCTGGGGTCTATTAGACCACAGATCTTTCCTCTGCCCTTAAAAGCATCTGATCAGAGATCAGTTTGATCAAAAGGCCTGTAACAGCCTGTTTACATTAGACCGAAACCAGAAGTGGCAAAATACTTGTTTCTTTTGTTTTCTTAGACCATAGAAATGATCAGGTACATTCCAATTCTCAAGTCATCTCTGTGGTAAGCCAGAAAACCCGTCAGCTTCAGTCTTAGGCTCCCTGGTGGGATGGGAGAGTGTGGGAAGGTGGCGGATGGAAGCAGGAAGAGGTTTTCTGTAGCACGTAAAACTGATCCAGCAGTTATTTAGCCGCTAGGATTGCTTTACCAAGAAGGAGCATCTCCAGCCGGAAAAAAAAAAAAAAAAAAAAACATACCAGGGTCATGGCCCAGCAGAACCACTGAAACTCAAGGATAATCCACTAAAAGCATTTTGCTGTTTGGTAAATAAAAAATATACTTGTTGATTTTGCAGGAATCCGATGATGTCCTGTGTGCACATTTATCTGTTACATTGTTCTCCGTTATCTCCGACAACAACAGAACCACGACCCTCTATGTTATGAGAACTAGAAGGGTGGTGTTACTTAGTTCTGTCTGGTTTTTGTGGTCCTAATACAGAAGGGTTACTCGGTGTTTTCATCCTAGGAATGGAAGTGTGTTACTGATAGAATCACTAGATAAAAGAAAAAAAGCCTCAAAAAAGAAAATGAACACAGCCACCACAGCTAAGGACTGGTAAGCTACTACAGTGTTTTACGCTTTAAAGGATGTAATAATAAATGCTTAATTTGGAGTAATGGGAACACAATTAGTATGCTAGTAATGTTGCAGACACAGTAAAAAAGGCAGATATGTTTTTACCTCAAGGACAGCACACAGTTTTCCATGGCCAACATGCATAAGGAGATGAGTGAGGTGAGAAAAACACTCTGGAGTTGCACGCATCTGTCCCTGTAAGAACAGGAGTACACACCATCTACGTCTCATAACACAGTGATAACTTTATCTTCACACTTATGATACAAATGAAATCAGATAATGACAATTTGTCACAAAACATCTGTGTGCTAGGCTCTGATTGAAGCAGTCATTTACTGGACTACTGCTTCATGGTAATTCTGTGGCAGTGATAACCAACCTATTCACTGAATTACTATTCTGAAACAGCTAAGTAGCACTTAAATAAGGGAATTGCTGCTTCCATCAGAGCTTTACCAGTTTTGTTTACGGCAGAATTAAAAATATAGTTTTTCTAAAGCATAATTTTGCACAACATACATACCTCAGGGTCTCCAAATCCTGAATCAAATCCAGCTGACACCAAGACAAGTTCGGGATTAAACTAAAAATATAAAGAACCTTGGTATTGTTTCACTTAATAGGATTTTCAAAGATGCTTTATGTCCTTATGAAAAGCTTTAAACTATTAATCAGTTAACATAAATAAATGCACTTAAATGGCAAAAAAACAGGGGGAATAAAAAGTTTCCTGTGTCACATTAACCAATCAGCTGGACCTATTTCAGGTCTATCTGTACCACCCATGACAGTTTGGCCCCTTTCACACAGGCGTTCCATATGTCCGTTTTTCATTTGTCCGTTTACGGATGAAAAACGGACACCTATGTATTTCTATGGCCTAGCGGATGTAAACAGATGATCATCTGTTTACATCCGTTAATGTTCGCATCCGTTAACATCCGGATTTTGATCGGAAGAAAATCCTATTTTTTTTCCATTAAAAATAACGGAACAGACAAAAAACTGATGTAAATGGACAAAAACGGATGTAAAGGGACAAAAAAAAAAATAGATGTAAACTGATGTGAACTGATCTGTTTTTTTCTTGGGTAAAAATGTAACTGAACTGATGAAAAAAATGGAACACCCGTGTGAAAGGGGCCTATTTCAGAGAGAAACAGAAACTAGCACAGGTTGTTCAACTAATTTTCAAAGGTATTGCAGCAGTTTTCAATATAGAAAACTTCTGCAGTTCCCTGCCAGAATGGACTAGGCATAAAGGATGTGAATTGTCAGCAGACAGCTCACATGCCTCCCTGCCCGTGCAGTGTTTACACTGCACAGGAAGAGCCTGCTGAGTAACAAACTTCCTAGATCAGGGGTATTGAATTAAAATTCAAGGGGGTCCAGTCACTAAAATTTTCTTCTGGCTGAGGTCCGAATAGGGTGTGCCATCAGTGTGCCCCCTTACATTAGGTGTTGCCATCAGAGTGCAACGTAACATCATGTATTCCCATCACATCAGGTGTTCCCATTAGAGTGCTCATTTACATCAGTTGTCCCCATCAAAGTGCCCCTTTACATCAGGTATCCCCATCACAGTGCCACCTTACATCAGGTATCCCCATCAGAGTACCCCCTTACACTCAAAGTACCCCTTTCCATCATATTTCCCCATCAGAGTGCACGTTTACATCATATTCCCCATCAGAGTGCCCCTTTCCATCATTTGTGCCCATCAGAGTGCCCCTTTCCACAGTATGTGCCCATTTGTGCCCCCTTAACATAATGTACCTATCAGAGTGCCCCCTTAACATAAAAGATGCTCATCAGAGTGTCCCTTAACATAAAATGTGCCCATCAGAGTGCCCCTTAACATAAAATAAGGGGCATGGTGATGGGCACATTTTATGTTGAGGGGCACATTCATATTAAGGGGCACCCTGATAGGCACATTTTATGTTAAGGGGCACTACGATGAGCACATTCTATGTTGTGCCCATCAGAGTGCAGCTTAACATTAAATGTGCCCATCAGAGTGCCCCTGTAAGAGTACACCCTACCTTGAAGGCAGACAGGACCTGTCCCGGGATCCTTGTGTACAGGCAGGGAGTGGGAGCTGGACAGACAGTGAGCTGCATGGGGCGGGGCGCACAGGTGATATCATGTTGCTGTGAAGACTGCCCTGCTCAAATCTGTCATTGTGGGCTGGCGGTCCAGAAGGGAGTGCTGCTGGGGCCGTTCTCAGCCCGCGGTCCTCCATTTAGTGACTGCTGTCCTAGATTCTCAATTTCAGCTGTGTGGAGAGCAGGCAGAGAGATCCAGAGCATACAGCTCCAGCTGTGACACATCTGTCAGACACAGAACAGATCCCTCCTAATTAAAAAAGGGGTTTAAACCCCTTTTTGTTTATTGGGAGCGAGCTCTTCTGCCTTTCATCAGCTTATAAGAGTGATTCAGGCTTTAATCCTTTTGTTAATACCCCCCAATAGAGTCAGATGGAGTACAATATGACAGCAATGTCATACTCTCAAAACTACCATTATCAGTAAGAGAAATAGGACCCTGGAGCTTGTAACATTAGCTTCATACAACTTACCTCAAATGCTAAAGGAAGAAGCACATGGAAAAAAGCTGCAATATAATCACTATTACTCATGCCAATCTGAAAAACATGGTTAAAAGGAAAACAAAAACTGTAAATGAAATTTTAATTATGCAGACTGACATATAACAGATAACTAAAGGCAAATGTTTTTGTTGTGTTTTTTTTCCCGTTTCAGGCAGCATGGAGAGTGAGTAGAATACCTGTCAGTTTTTATTGCTATCTGTGCCCCATTAGGGATATCTGCCCTCTCTATTTGTTCTGTTTACCAATATTGGAAAGGTAAGTAAAAGAAAATCCCAAATTCTGGGTTGTTACCAGCAAATTAAACCTTCCAATGGGGACACTAGTTGTGGTGACCTATAGGGCCCCAAGGGATTCCCTTCATTTGTAGGGATTTCCTCTTACTTCCTGTTTGTTATGGGACAGGAAGTAAAGGTAAATCTCCCCAATGGGACACAGATGACAAAAAAGAAAAAATCTGAAAAGGGTTATAATCCTCTCCTACTGTATCCAAAATGAAGAAAAAAAAAAAAAACAGTCAGATTCAAGTCTGCCCTGTTTAATCTACTTACACATCAAATAAAGATACAAATATACAATGCAGGCTGCCGGAAGCAAAACTAAACACTTCAAATGTAAGAAACGGATATCTTACTGGGTGCAGTGGATTAGACAATACTCAAATTAACCATTTAAACACCGGGCACTTTTATCCCCTTCCTGCCCAGGCCATTTTTCAGGTTTCAGCGCTCTCACACTTTGAATGACAATTGCACGGTCAAACAACACTGCACCCAAACTAAAATTTTAGCATTTTCTTCACACAACTAGAGCTTTCTTTTGGTGGTATTTAATCACCGCTGGGGTTTTTATTTTTTGCTATATTAACAAAAAAAATACCGAAAATTTTAAAAAAAAACACGTTTTTCTTTGTTTCTGTTATAAAAGTTTGCAAATAATTGCTCTTCATAAATTTAGGCCGAGATGTATTCTACTACATGTCTTTGGTGAAAATAACCCAAATTAGGAGGTATTTTTTAGTTTGTAGGAAAGTTATAGAGTTCACAAACTATGGTATAGATCTGAATATTGATCAGTCCTGAAGTACTGACGGGCAATCTAATTTCTTGAGGTCCAAGAATGTCAGAACAGTACAGATATCCCCCAAATTACCCCTTTTTGCAAAGTAGAAAGTCTGACGTACTTCATAAGAGGCATGGTGAGTTATTTGAAGTTGTATTTTTTTGTCATAATTTTTCTGAAAATGAAAAAATTAAAAAAATTTACTTTTTTTTTTGCATACTGTCACCAGTGCAGTACAGCGTCATCATATAACTGGCATGGCGGTGATCAGGGACACTGACTGGTGACAGTATGAAAAAAAAAAAATATATTTTTTTATTATTTTTAATTTTTTTTTACATTTTTTTTCTTTTTTTTTAAGATTTTGTTTCATATTTCACTGTGGCCAAAGTAGTACAATGTTACCATAGTAAAAAAAAAAAAAACTTTGGGGAAGTGATCAGTATTTTTTTTTTTTTTTTTTTTTTTACACAATTTGCTTATAGCAAATAATTACTTTGCTATAAGCAAGCATTTACCTGAATGACATCGATTCATTCAGTTTTTTTTTTTTCTTTTGTGCTTAGCTGTGATTTGGCCACAGCTAATCACATGACGTGCATGTGATCGCTGTGACCATTCACAGCTAGACACTAGTATACAATGGATGGCATGAATGAAGCCATCCATTGTATACAACTGTTATGTGACCTGCTGTGATTGGTCACAGCAGGTCACATGGTACCGACAATGGGGGCCGGTACTCAGATCTGTCATTGGCCGTGTCCAAGGTACACGGCCGGTGACAGATCGCGCTGCTGCACGGCTCTGCAAGAGTGAAAACTGCGCATGTGCGGAAATCTACAGCCTTTTCCCGGCCGCCAAACGGCTATTGGCCGGGAGGCTATTGGTTAAAGGAGTCGTGAATGGCTAGAGCCAATTAATTTAAATTGTGGACTGGAATTACTCTTAACACTTTTACTATTGTTGCAAATGTGCAATCTGCACTTTCATTTATATCAGCAGTCTCCAAACGCTCTAAACCTAGGGCCAGTTTACTGTTCATCAGACCTTTGGGGGGCAGGACTGGCCATTGGGAGTAGAAATTGTCCCGGCATCAGTGGGAGTAAACAATGCATCTTTGGTATTAGGGGGAGGAATAGTGCCCAATTGTTGGTGTCAACGGGAGAAATAGTGCCCAGTTGTGTCAGTGGGAGAAATAGCGCCACATCATTGGTGTCAGTTTAAGGAATAGTGTCCTATTGTTGGTGTAATTGAGGGGAAATAGTGCCCCATTGTTAGTGTTGGTGGCAGGAATAGTGCTTCATCATTGGTGTCAGTGGGAGGGAATAGTGCCCCATCATTGGTATCAGTGAAAGGAATAGTGCCCCATCATCTAAATGGTTAGCACTTTTGCCTGGCAGTACTAGGGTCGTTGGTTCAAATCCCAGCCACGGCACCACCTGCCTGGAGATTGCATGTTCTCCTTGTGCCTGCGTGGGTTTCCTCTGGGTACTCTGGTTTCCTCCCACACTCCAAAGACATGCTGATAGGTTAATTGGATCCAGGGGTGGACTGACAACTCATGGGGCCCCTGGGCAATAGGGGATCATGAGGCCCCTGTGTCCTTGCCCAAACTCAAAAAAGCCTATGAAAAAGGTACCAGGTGCATCTCATGGGGCCCCCTACGGACCCCGGGCCCTCGGGCAGTGCCCGAGTTTCCAAATGGTCAGTCCGCCCCTGGTATATACATAATTACATTGGTCCAAGCTGGACCAATGTAATTTTGTATAAAACAGGGGTGGACTGACAACTCATGGGGCCCCCGGGCAATAGGGGGATCATGGGGCCCCCTGTGTCCTTGCCCAAACTCAAAAAAGCCTATGAAAAAGGTACCAGGGGCATCTCATGGGGCCCCCTACTGACCCCAGGCCCTCGGGCAGTGTCAGAGTTTCCAAATGGTCAGTCCGCCTCTGATTGGATGCTGTCTAAATTGGCCTCAGTATGTATATGTATGAATGTGAGTTAGGGACCTTAGATTGTACGCCCCTTGAGGGTTAGGGACTGATGTGAATGTACAATATATATGTAAAGCGCTGCATAAAATTGATGGCGCTATATAAGTACCTGAAATAAATAAAATAAATCATTGGTATCAGTGGAAGGAATAATGTCCCATCATTGGTATCAGTGGAAGGAATAGTGCCCCATTATTGGTATTAGTGGGAGGAACAGTGTCCAATCATTGGTGCCCAATCATTGGTATTAGTGGGAGGAACAGTGCCCCATCATTGGTATTAGTGGGAGGAACAGTGCCCCATCATTGGTATCAGTGGGAGGAACAGTGCCCCATCATTGGTATCAGTGGGAGGAACAGTGCCCCATCATTGGTATCAGTGGGAGGAATAGTGCCCAATTGTTGGTATCAGTGGAAGGAATAGTGCCCTATCATTGGTATCAGTGGGAGGAATAGTGCCCCATCATTGGTATCAGTGGGAGGAATAGTGCCCCATCATTGGTATCAGTGGGAGGAATAGTGCCCCATCATTGGTATCAGTGGGAGGAATAGTGCCCAATCATTGGTATTAGTGGGAGGAATAGTGTCCCATCATTGGTGTCAGAAGGAGGAATAGTGCCCCATCATTGGTATTATTGGAGGAATAGTGCCCCATCATTGGTATTATTGGAGGAATAGTGCCCCATCATTGGTATTAATGGGATGAATAGTGCCTCATTGTTGATGTCAGTAGCAGTAATTTTGCTCCATTGTTGGTGGAAGGAAAGGAATAGTGTCTTATATCAGTGGGAGGAAAAGTGCCCCGAGGGTCAGATAAAAGGCGAGCAAAGGGCCACATCTGACCCCTGGGCCGCAGTTTGGAGACCACTGATTTATATTATGCTCAGGAATAACATTTCTAAAAAGGACCATGAACTTTGTACCTTGTTCCATGGAAGATTTATATTGTAACCGGTTCCTTTGCCTTTACCAATAAAATCATAATCCGACTCGCGCAGATTTGGCCAGTATAATCCATGTTCATAGCGATGCCAGGAAAAGTACAGGACACTACAGTACAAAGTACATTGGGTAAACAAGGTACAGTCACAATAGAGGCCAATAAATCATCATACAGGGTGCTGTGCTCTGGATTCATATTAGCAGAATGAAACTAAAAAACTCAACTTCTACAATTCCCCACCATAAAATGCTGTTTTTATTCAATACTGCTGGTGAAGTAACTTTAATGAGAAAGGCCATAATGTCATCTCAGCAGATGTATTTAAATAATATAAAAAGCAGCACTGTAATCCCAGCAGATGGATCCATCCTTTCTCTCATGAAGACAGGAGGACAGATAATTAAAGACTTTAAGCTCAACTCTAGGTTTTGGAAATATTTTTTCAATTGCCTTAAACCTGCTGACAATCGTTTTCATTGCAATACTCGCCGCAGTGCTGGTCCATCTGTCCTTCAACCCCAGGCCTGTTCAGGTTTAAGCGATGCCCAGTGTCATTTAAATCACTTCCTGTGAGCCAAGGTTGTCATGAACACACCCCCTGGAGGTGTGTGATCACAGCATCTTGAGTTCATAGGAGAATGCTGCAAAGTACAGAGCTCAGGTCACACTGGGAGCACCATTCAGGGCAGCATGTATGACCACCCACCCGGTGAGCAAAGAAATTGAAAAAGTAGCATTTTATGAGTTTTACTCTAAAAAAGGTTTTTATCTTTGGAATGCAATATTTATAAACCTAAATGCCTGATGCTTATAAGTGTGGACAACCCTTTTATTTAAAGGTCTGTGCTGAGGAAATAACCACATTTATGTGATGGTAGAAGATAGGATTACAATTTGTATGCACCTTGGATCATCTTCAAAGATGTACTGGATCCCCTGTCCATGGTGAATATCCCAGTCAACAATCAGAATTCTGTAACAAAATTTTATAGTTAGAAAAAAAAAAACAAAAAAATGGGTTCAAACCAAGTCAAACAACAGTATACATAAATGTTTTGCAAAGTTTCTCTAATTATTCTTATTATTATTATTATACAGTATTTATATAGCGCCAAAGGGTATGCTCAGCGCTGTACAGTAGCAAGGGGGACAGAACATGAGACAAGACAGTAACAAAACAGTACACGAGGGGTTTGAGGGCCCTGCTCTTTCGAGCTTACAATCTAGGAGGGAGGGGAAAGTGGTACAGGAGGAAATGGCTGTGGGGGATGGAGTGGTGGGAGGAGTGAAGGAGGTTGTTAGGTGAGGTCAGGTGTTAGGTGAGGTTGGGGTAGGCTTCCCTGAAGAGGAGGGTTTTCAGGGTGCGCCTGAAGGTGAGGAGGGTGGGTGACAGTCTGATGGATTAGGGTAGGGAGTTCCAGAGGATGGGGGAAGTCCTAGAGAAGTCCTGCTATCGGGCGTGGGAGGAGGAGACCAAGAAGCTAGAGAGTAGGAGGTCCTGTGAGGAGCGAAGGGCACGGGTAGGGTAGTATTTGGGTATCAGGTCAGTTATGTAGTTTGGGGCGGCGTTGTGAATGGCTTTGTAGGTCAGGGTTAGCAGTTTGAATTTGATGCGCTGGGCAATCGGGAGCCAGAGAAGGGATTGGCAGAGGGGGGAGGCAGATGTGGAGCGGTTGGTGAGGTGGATGAGTCTAGCCGCTGAGTAATACAACTGTTACTGTTAGAATCACATAAGTTAAAAGAGCGCCTTTTTTGTGACTGCAATAATTTTTTTTTATATAGCAGATACAATATGCTCAATTCATCAAGATATGATTATTTTTTTTTTTCCCAGCATGAAAAGGTGAACAATAGTATTGCTGAAGAAAAATAACATGACAGCAAATAACAAATGCATTAAGACAACTGTGTCTTTGGTACAAAAAGTTGTCCTTTAAAGTTGTTGTAAAACTTACATATACCCAGTGAAGTAACTAGCCTCAGACAATACAGAGATTAAACAAATACTCCTATGTAAGTTGTACCTTTATATCTGCAGTCTTTTCTACATCTGTTCAAAAAGTCCAGAATTTATAAAGCTTGCTTGAGCAGTCAGAAAAAATGGGGCAGATAGCTGAAATTACACACTGCAGAACTCAGGGAGGAGAGAGCTGAGTGAAGAGAAGGGACATAACCTTTTCTACACATGCTCATAGGGAAAACATGCACAGCTGAGGCTCTCAATCACAGGCTGTGAGCTGGAGCTCTCCTCATCCCTTGAAGGTGGCATGAACAGTCAGAAAGGAATAATGCAGATAGCAGAGGAAGGAGAATGCAGACAGGAATCACACCAAGGGCATGCAATCTAAGCAAGCACACACTATAGAATTATATGCTTTGTTCATTTGTATTTCTGGCAGGAGGCCCTTTCCATAGGGGAAAAGGCGGCCCACACAGAAACATCTTCTCTGTGCCCACTGTGTGGTCCTGCTCAGAGTTGCAGAGCCTTGTTTCAGTAAGCATCCCCACTGGCTTTTCATCCTGAGCATGTGTGCTCTGACTCTACTTGTTACTTTTAAATAGCTCATACTCTGCAGCCCACAAAGTAAGGCTATCAATAGGAATGAATGGGGCGACAGTGCACTTGGACAGGATGATGAGGACCCAGTGGAATGTTTTCTGAAAGTATGTAGGGCCATACACTAAAGATCACTGGATCGAAGATGAAGGCAAGTATTTCACTAGTACTGCATTGAGGGGGTGGAGGACAACTTGTGCAAAATAAATATTTCCCTTTTAACCACTTCAGCTCTCATATTTGTATACCTATTATGGACCAGAGCAATATTTACATTTCCACTATGGACCGGATTATTTGGCGATGCCTTTGTCATTACTTATTAAAAAGTAACACATAAAGCTTTGGGGAAAACTAGACAATATTGTTTTGCAAAAAAATTATAGTTTATTGTCTATAGACATCAACTCCAAAAAGATTTTTTTTTTTTTTTTGTTTTGACCTTTTTTTAAAATAGTATACATTTTATAATACAGATGGTCCTGTTAAAGACACTAAAATAATGTTCCTGGTACAAAGTAGAACAAAGCTATTTTAAATTTTGCACTATAAAAATGAGAATGAAAAAATGTTTACCTTGACAGTTTTTTTTTTAAAGTATAATGAAAGAAAAGACTGACAGGGTTTACAACCCTCCAAAATGAAAAAGACGTTTGCCTTTAGCTTTACTTTTAGTGATATCACTGTATTTACTTATTCATTTGTCATTCTTGTGTAGATCTTCTTTGATATACATATGAATGAAAGAATAAATACAATTATCAGTTATATTTACAGTTGTGTTCAAAATAATAGCAGTCAGACATCACTAACCTGATCAATCACTGTTTTTGGTAGAAATGATATTTCCACATGGCAAATAATTTACTAGCAGGTGTAGTAGAGTAATAGAAATCCAACAGACCCAACAGTCATGACATGCATGCTGCTGATTCTGTGTAATTGAATCATTAATTGAAAGGGGCATGTTCAAAATAATAGCAGTGTGGAGTTCTATTAGTGAGGTCATTCATTCTTTGAAAAACAGGTGGCAATTATTTCCCTTATTTAAGGAAGGAAGGCAGCAGATGTTGTACATGCTGGTTACAGTGCATTTCTCTCTCAAATTCTGAGGAAAATGGGTCATTCCAGACATTGTTCAGAAGAACAGCGTACCTTGATTAAAAAGTTGATTGGAGAGGGGAAAACATATAAAGAAGTACAGAAAATGATAGGCTGCTCAGCTAAAATGATCGCAAATGCTTTAAAATGGCAACCAAACCCTGAAAGACGTGGAAGAAAGCGAAAAAAAAAAAAAGACTACCATTCGAATGGATAGAATAGCCAAAATGGCAAGGACTCAGCCAACAATCAGCTCCAGGAAGATCAAAGAAGGTCTAAAGTTACCTGTGAGTACTGTTACAATTAGAAGACGCCTATGTGAAGCCAAGCTATCTGCAAGAAGCCCCCGCAAAGTCCCACTGTTGAAAAAAAAAAGACATGTGCTGAAGAGGTTACAATTTGCCAAAGAGCAGATTGACTGGCCTAAACAGAAATGGCGCAACATTTTGTGGACTGATGAAAGTAAGATTGTTCTTTTTGGGTCTAGTGGCCGGAGACAGTTTGTCAGACGACCCCCAAACACTGAATTCAAGCCACAGTACACTGTGAAGACAGTGAAGCATGGTTGCACAAGCATCATGATATGGGGATGTTTCTCATACTACGGTGTTGGGCCTATTTATCGCATACCAGGGATCATGGATCAGTTTGAATACATCAGAATACATGAAGAGGTCATGCTGCCTTATGCTGAAGAGGAAATGCCCTTGAAATGGGTGTTCCAACAAAACAACGACCCCAAACACACCAGTAAACGTGCAACATCTTGGTTCCAGACCAACAAGATTGACGTTATGGAGTGGCCAGCCCAATCCCCGGATCTTAATCCAATAGAAAACTTGTGGGGTGACATAAAAAAAATGCAGTTTCTGAGGCAAAACCAAGAAATAGAGAAGAACTGTGGAATGTAGTCCAATCATCCTGGGCTGGAATACCTGTTCACAGGTGCCAGAAGTTGGTTGACTCCATGCAACACAGATGTACAGCAGTTCTCAGAAACAGTGCTTATACAACTAAATATTAATTAAGTGATTGAAAGGAAAGCAAAATCTTCAAACATTTTTCAGTTTATATAGTGAATGTTTGCGTTTGTAAAGAAGAATACAAACACTGCTATTTTTTGAACAGTCTAATACTCACGTTTCTTCAATTTTTTTTAGAGGAACAACACAAATTTGATATATTTTTCTTCATGTTTTGATTTGGAATAGAATGTGTAGTGTTCCCAATGCTTTTGTGTGTATGGAAAAAAAAGCTATTAGAAGGATTTTGATTTTTATTCACTTTTTTCAACACACTGCTATCATTTTGAACACAACTGTATGTAATGACACCTGCAGGCTATATGCACATGTAATCTTACACTTACCTTTGGCAGCCACACCTGCTATGTAATACAATCAATTTGCTGGTAATAGCAGCGGGGGGGGGATGGGGAGATGCATCCTAAAAACTTTCTGGATTATTTTGGACCCCTCTCTAATGTTCTAAATCCTGAAATGGCTAACGTAAAACTGGTGCTCAGTTTTTAACCTTTTTAAATTAAAAAAAAAAAAAAAAAAAAAAAAAAACTTGGTACAGACACCAAAAGATTGACTGCTATTACCTTATTAACTAGACTAGACTCTGATCCAGTTACACTTTGTGACTGAGGGCTGACTTTCCCCAATATCATTGCTAAGCCCTGCCAACTGCCCGTTTGGTTATTAAATATTGCTCTCAGTTGCCAGCAAAAGCACTCTTGAACAATTAAAATCCCCCTTTCCCTAATGATAGTACTTTTACTGGTCACTTAAAGTGGTTGTAAACCTCAGCCATGAAATATGAACAAAGCATATCCCTCTATAAAATATATATACATAAATATATGCAGCGCTAAAAACCGGTAAAATGGGATAAAAATATTAGCCATATAGAATGGCTACACTACATTATTTACACTACATAAAAAGAGAGAAAATACCTAGAAGATCATATGTCAATATCTACGAAGGGGAATTAACTAGTATCAATAAAGCAGTTAATAGCTAAATCGATGTTTAAACCATGGGGGGAAAGTGTCTGTAATAAAAATATCCACTTGGTTTCTAACATGGACACTGATCTCCGTTTGTACGTTCCTCTCCAATGCTTCTTTATTTATCGCATGCGCGAACAGTCCGCGATGACGCGGCAGCGATGCACATGCGCGTCGTACGATATAAATACAATGTCATTCGAACAGGCACACTCCCTTTGAGAAAGTGTACTCACACGAAACGCGTTAGGGAGGTGCCCCCAAACAGCAACCACATTCCGCACGGCTCCTATGGACGGACGGCGGCCATCTTGGATATTTTAGATGCAAGTCTATTCACCTGCTTTTATATATCACGTATTTTTCAATAAACTACTACACTATTGGAGACTTCCCTTTTGGGCTTGTTTGTTCTGCGAGCCCCCCCCCCCCCCCCTCTCCTAAGGTGATTTCTGCTGACCTGACATATGAGACAGTGTGTGATCCCCCTGGTGGCTGATGACTGAATACCTGGAGATGGGCTATCCCCCTCTGATGTGTGTTACCTGGATGTTGCTGGCCTGATGACCCTTCATGTTGCAGTGTTCCAGATGACCAGGAATAGGTCCTAATATACTCCAATGCGCAAGAGATTGCGCTATCTGGTTAGTGCAATCAACATCCATTTTTCACAGCCACAGGAGTCACAGATTTTTCACCATGTCTTATTGCTATCGGATAGATTGACTTTGTCACCAATATCACCATAGCTTGGACGTAGTTATTTATGAAATTGTTGGCATCAATGGTCTTAGCGCCTTTCAGCGCTAATTATACTTGGCTCGTTTCTTATTGTTTACCGTATATGGCTAATATTTTTATCCCATTTTACCAATGCTTTTAACGCTGCATATATTTATGTATATATATTTTTTGAAGAGGTTTAAGAGGTTCACTTTTTATGCTTTCCAACTTATATCCATTTACCCAGCGCTCGTTTATTTTATTTCAATCATATCCCTCTATAGTATGTATTTCTGTCTGCTGCCTTGGCACTATAATCCTGTGTAATAATAATAAATAATAATAACAGTTTGCTCAGCACTGTACATTATAATGGGAGACAGTACAGTAACAATACGATTCAATGCACGAGGGGTTCAAGGGCCCTGCTCCTTGGAGCTTACAATCTAGGAGGGAGGGGATAGTGGTACAGGAGGAAATAGCTGTGGGGGATGGAGTGGTATGAAGAGTGGAGGAGTTCAGTAGATTATCTAGTAATTAGCTGAGGGCGGGGTAGGCTTCCCTAAAGAGATAGGTTTTCAGAGTGCGCCTAAAGGTGAGCAGAGTAGGTGATAGTCTGATGGATTGGGGTAGGGAGTTTCAGAGGATGGGGGAAGCCCTCTGCTATCAGCACAAATCACTTCTGACACGTTTTCCTGACAAAAGAAAAAAAGATGACAGGTGAGGGAGCTCCAGCAGATTGACAGCCTCAGGTCTGTACCTGTGTGCTGTGTAAAGGGGGGGTGGCTCTTCCCTCCAATCAGCTTTGCTTTTACAGCTTTCCCCTGTCTTGCGTAATTTCAGCTCTCTGCCTCTTTTTTTTTCGGACAGCTCAGACAAGCTGTATACATTTTTCACTTTGAACAGATGTAGAGTAGTGACATCAACAGATAAACAGGTACAACTTATGCAGGAGGATTTGTTTCATCTCTGTGAATCACCTGAGGCCAGTATATGTAAGGGTTTACAACCACTTTAAGCAGTCTTTGAACAGTAAAATAAGAGTTGCTTCTTTTCTGTTAAAAAATAGCAGCTGCTTAGCCTTGAAGTCAGGTCTAGGAAAGTAAATCTATGATGAACATGAATGCTACTACTCTGAAAGATTATCCACTAGCCTACTGACTACCTGGGCTTTATAGTGCAGTACTTAAAGTAATTACAGTGTCAGAATAAAAAGAGAAATTTGGCCAATGGCTTCCACTTGCTGTCTCAGCCAATGAGGAGGCAGAGACCTAGGGCAGCCGAGGCTGTCATTCACATCGCTGGATCACAATGAGGCTCAGGTAAGTATTGAGAGGGCTGGGGGAGATGCTGCACACAGAAGGTTTTTACCTTCATGCATAGAATGCATGAAGGTAAAAAACCTTCAGCCTTTACAACCACTTTAACCCTAGCACTCTGTGCATTACACACTCCTGGTTTTATATCATCATGTCTCCTTAAAGCCTTCCAACTATTAAGGCATGCTGGCTACACCTACCAGTTGATATAGCATCTACACAACACACCACCTTGCAACTTCCCCAGTGGAGCAGGTGTGAGCTCCTGCACCTATTCTCAGACAACAAAAGCCCTAATAAAATCTATAAACAAAAAAAACACATGCCAGCAAAGGATAAAGAAAATGTTGGTCCTGCAAAATGTGAGCTGTTGATACAATGGCAGAGTTGTCTGCCACAAGAAGCATCAGCATTGACAAGGGTGTCAACCCCCTGTTAAAAACCCCTGATTTTAGCGCATACTGTTAGACAAGTTCATTCGGTTTGATTGCAGGCTTGCTGGCACGTTGAGCCAGGAATTTTTCTCATTTGTTGTTTGACATGCGTCACCCTTTCATGTGCTCTTTACTGTGAAGACCAGTTATAGACTGGGGCAGTGGCCATTTTTTGTACTATTGAATTGTTGGTGAGGGGGGCGCACTGGGCACCTTAGCTGCCATTGTGCTACATGCTGGGTGTCCAGTGTCCTCCTGTACCTTTACGGAGGGGTGGGCTCCCTCAGGTCCACCTGCCCTTGGTCTATCCATTAAATGCATGTGCTTCTACTATGGGGGCTCTCATCATTTGTAGAGATAGGACTACAGAATATCAGGGTGCCGTGACGAGGCTCTGTGGCTTACGCATGTGTTTGTATATGTGTGCTAAATAAACCCCTGTTTTTAACGCACACTGTTAGGTTAATTCGGTTTGTTTGCAGGCTGGCTGGTAAGTTGAACCAGGAATTTTTCCCTTTTGTTGTTTGATATGCGTCGCCCTTTCATGTGCTCATTGCTGTGAAGGCCAGTTATAGACTGGAGCAGTGGCCATTTTTTTTCTACTGTCAACAATGTTGAAGGTCCAAACTATTCAAGAGAGTTACTATTATGAATTGATATCCAGGCACACCAACCTGCTGGGGTGTAGGTGGACATAAACCTCTTTAAATGGCAGATTTTATCATCCATTAATGCATACATGTTTTATAATGATTTATTTCCAACTTATTTTAATATTAATAATGTAGAATAAGAAAAATACATTGTACTGATAATATTTACCTCTGAAGGTTGTATTTGTTTTTAGCATATTTCGCAGCTACAGCAACATTATTGAAAACACAAAATCCATTGCTCTCACTTGGTTGACTGTGATGTCCTGGAGGTCTGGAAACAAATTAATATTGCACACTATCAAACTACAACATAAAGTAACCATGATGGTGTATGTAATGGTGGATGTCTAAGATCTGCTATTTACAGTAAACATGGTATTAGGAAAAGTATAGGTAGCGTCATTGTTGATCTTCTAAAAATGCTGCTTGCCTGATGGTCATACTGACCCACTGTCAAAAACCTTATCTGCATACTTTTCTTTCAACTGTTTTTTTTATTGAAGTTTAAACCACGTAAAGATATACAGTACATACAGTAGTCGAATATGAAGTATAGTTTGGTCAGCAAAATAGCCTGGCAACTAGCATTTTTAAAAAGGAGAGCTCAGCAACTTGTTTCATTTGTGACTTGTAAACTTTAAACTTTAAGGTCCTGATCTAATCCAGACTCTGATGAGATCAGCAGGGTATCTGTCCACTGATTCCCTGCTGATCTAAGCATAGCAGGCTGTTAGCAGGAGGTTCGAATCTGTTCAGTTTATGCAGAATGGACATGGACTCAGCTCGCTCTGCCCTATGGACCAGTGGGTGTAAACAGACTCCGCTGTCCATTTACAACCAACTGTCCTCCAATCTGCTCCATCTAGATGGAGGGGGACAGATCCCCCATACCAGATCAAATTGGAGGTAGGCTTGTGTCCATTTACACCTGCTTGTCCATGGGGTAAATGGAGGGTCTGATCTGGTCCACATGAAGAACTGGCAGATGGACCTGATTGGACCCTTCGTGTGAAAGAGGCCTAAGGCAATAAAGGAAATTTGTGATATTTTACTTACAGTAGGTCAGTGAACGTGGCAGTCTTTTGTAAGAAAACATTTAGAGTACATGCACACAGTCGTTAGCAAGCACAAAGGAGCTCTACAGTATTACTCCTGGACACCTACAGCCAGCCATAGAAGTGCAAGCTATATGCACTTGTACTCATGTAAATGCAGGTGCTCATTTGCATTGGTATTTACAAGAGCATACACATATGACGTTTTCGTCAAGTAAAACTTCCAAGTTCGGGAAATACATCATACATGCATGCAAGGATAAATGTGATGCAAAAGAGCATCCGTATTTACAATGATACAAGCCTGTACATGCCACCTCTGGCTTGCCAGGAACAGACAAATGCCAGAGTTTAACACTAGAGCTGCCTTGCATCTGCAAATGATCAAGTGATCGTTTATAGTGTAGATTTTGAAAGATGTACTAAAGGCTCATTTACACTTGCTTCAGCTTTAAAACAGACATTAAAGTGCCTACCGCTTCAACATGCTTTTTTTTATGTGTTTTTAATGCTTTTGTGATGCTTTTTGGAAGCTTTAATGATGCTTGGCAAATGCCCTGTGTGTGTTGATTTTTTATTTGTTTTAGAGGGGCCCAGTAGAATCTCAGCTCAGTAGTACCCCCACTCAACAGATTCCCAGCTTATTAGTACCCCTATTCAGCAGATCCCCAGCTCATTGTTACCCTCATTCAGCAGATCCCCAGCTTATTAGTACTCTTGTTCAGCAGGTCCCCTGGTCAGTAGTACCCCTAGCTCTGCTGATGTCCCAATCAATAGTAACCCCAGCTATTCTGATCTTCTGCCACTCAGTCCTCTCACCTTTTGCTAAAGCATTCCCATGTTGCCCACCATGTGTGCCATCTACTAATTGCTCAGCTCCGGACCCCGCTCTTCCTGCTTCTCCACACCAGATGTGACAACTGCACCAGACACTTCCAAAATATATATACACATAAACTGGAAGTGACTGCTTCTTTCCAGTTCGCTTGTTGGTTTCCCAGTGCATCCTGGGATCTTTCATGCCTGTAATACCTCCTAAACAAAGCAAAGCTAAAGCTGAATAAAAACACAGCAAACTCTGTACTGTGCTTGGGGATGGACTCCGCAAAGGCTATGGTAACAATTCAGATGTCCTGGAAAATGCACTCCTTGCTGCCCTCAATGGGTAGTCCAAGATCACTGGATACAAAGAAAAACAAACAGAGGGCACACCGGCCTAGTGCATTATCGTAAAAAAAATATTTATTAGAAGGATAAAAAGTAAATATTGACTTATATGTCAATTGTGAGTACGATACTTACTTTTTATCCTTCTAATAAATATTTTTTACGATAATGCACTAGGCCGGTGTGCCCTCTGTTTTTCTTTGTATCCAAAGCTGAATAAAAGCCTCTAAAAAGCTGCAGGTGCTGTAAGCAAGCTTTGTCATAGACACTTTCTGTCTGGAGACACTTTCAAGCACCAAGAAAAGAGACATGGGGTATAATTATTGAAGTGAAGCAGAGCAAAGCAAACGCAACATGCAAACAGGACTGTAAGCTAACCATTTTATTCAGTGATATGTGCTTTGATTGGTATTCAGAGCGCTTTAAAAAAGCGTGTCCAATGCCACATTTTGAAGCAAGTGTAAACAAGCCCTAAAACGTACTAAAACCAGCCTGTGAAAGGTGGATGAGAACATAGCTGTACACACTATGCATTCTGCAGTTGCTTCTCTTCACCAGCATACTTTAGTAATAACCATAAACAATAACAGTCTTCCATTACCTTATAAGAGCCAATCCATTGCGTACTTTCCCTGACATCACAGCATCAACAAGCTGCAACGTGCCACCAAGAGACAGCTTAGCACACCGGTACGAATTCTATGAGAAAAAAAAAAAAAATATATATATTACATTTTATGTATACAATACAAGAATTAAAGGATAAGTTCACTTTTGGGAACGTTACATGCTCTATCCGTTTTTAGGGTCAAACATGTAACATGTTCCCACTCCTGCAGCCTCTCTCTGATCTGCTGCATCCCTGTGACAGCAGGCCAAGGATCTTCTCCCTACACTCTGTCATTATATAAAGAAAAAAAAAAAATGAGGCCATGCGGGGCTCCTCTCCCCAGGCTGCATCACTCATTCACAGAGTTCTGTGAATGGAAGAACTACGACTACTTGGAGAGAACTCTAGGTAGTTCATTGATCCTTCCTGTCATTCAGTAACTGCGTAGAGGCAGACCATATACTAAGAGAGGCTTCAGGATCCAGGCATTGCACCTGCAATTTGATGATCATGGGTGCAATGCCTTACAGGCTGAAGTGTAAGAAAAAATAAAAATGCATTTTTTACCTGCAAAAATATGTGCATTTATTTTATTTCTTTACATACGTGAACTTATCCTTTAAGAAGTCTTGTCTGCCAGGGCAGTTTTGTTTTTTGCAAACTTTAAAACAATATTTGCTCAACTCTTTATCAAAACACATTTAAAAAAAAAAATACACAAATGAATTTTAGTGAAAACGACCACAATAAAATACCCAATTAATGTTGAAATATTAAAGATGGTGTTGCATTGAGTGAATAGATATCAAAACATGGCAGTCATAAAATTGCATGCACCAGTAAAATCATGAAAAATGATGGTACCCAAAAATCCTCATTAAGCAGTTTACAAGTTATCAGTTTAGAGCCAACAATGAACTATTACTCTCAATCTGACATTCGTACCAATACTTTACAATTTATACTTGCATCCATGTGAGCGCTGTACATTGTGTAAGCATTAGGGTGTGCAAGGGGGTGAGGAGGTGTTTTTAAAAAAAATTTTTTTTTATTTTTGTTTTATTCATTTTTTTCAATTAAATGTATTGCTATCACAAGGGGCTAACAAGCCTATGTGATAGCAGGGGCCTCTTTATGGAGACATTAGCAGTTTATTAGATACCCAATGATTCCCCTGTAGCTAATAGAGCACAAGACGTGCTTGATTAGCTGCATCCTCAGCTACAGTGTCCGAGGAACGACAGCCGAGAACCTGGAAGTGATGTAATACACAAGGCCCTTGTTCAGACATGTCCTGTTATGGGGTGAGATCACTCTGTCCCTATCTCGCAACTGCTGTCTTTTAATGTCAACCCACCATTTTTATAGAATTACATATATGTGATTGATCTGTGCAAGCTGCTGCTTGCAAAAGGAGACATCAAAACTGACAGCTTTTCTTTTTCTAGAGGGATTCAGAGAAGAAAATTAACCATGTGCTGTAAAATATATCCCTACACCTACCGTACATATACAACACCTTTATCTCAATCCTTTTCTCCTAGTCTCTTGAGATTTATACATGCTATCCATAAATGTTATAAAATCTTTATGATAGCCATCATTTATATAATAGTATTGTATCATTTATACATTAAAAAATTATCCTGTGATCATACCGGATGAAAGAACGCAGCAATATACTTCTCTGAAGTCTTCCTGAGTTCTTCTACATCCATGGTCTGTGTGCTCTTCACTACTTCAAGGTATTCTGGGCTAAAATTATATATAAAACTTACAGATTCAAGAGGAAAAAGAGGATTCAGAGGAAAACTTTAAGATCCATAATAAATTCAACATAAATGCAGCATAGCAAAACAGAGGCATGTGTCTGCAAGGCACAATCTGAGATAGCTTATAGTGTGTACCCTGCTGGGCACTGTACCCACTGGCTGCTATGTCAGGTAAAAAAGTGGGCGGTGAAAGGAACCATAGTGGCCCACGAGAACAAACTGTCAGACACATCGGAAAACGTTGGATAGCATCAGTGCTCCTAGCTCTGCAAGAAAGCAAATTTGTCACTCCGACATGCTTCTATTACAGGGTGCAGCTGCCTGTGTTATTTTACAGAAGTGAAAGTATTAATTCAAAGGAAAACTTGAATGGTTGGATTCATTTTTTTAAATTTGTATTTTTATGTTACGGTTTTGTTTTACACCTGCATATAACCACCCGCACAGGATTCACAGAGCACTCTGGGTTTTCTAGAGAGCACATCAGAAACTGTTTGCGTTCAGTTTGTCTTTCTCTGAATGAAACTTTCTAGTAGATCGCTAAACAATAATTTAAAATATAGTTTAAAAAAAATGGTTTTACTTTTCAAGTAACGAAAATGTATAAAAAAATACACTATTCACTGCCTTTAATTATAGACTTGTTGCACTAATCAATGTCAGTCTAATTACGATACACCGAGGTTCCAACAATCTGATAGTTACAAATTTTTTCCTCTTCTGCTGGATGACGAATCCTGCTATGTCACAGCTTGTGTTTTATAGTTTCCACAATTCTTATAAATCTACTTTTATGTAACGGAAATTACACAGTGATGTCCATATATCATTAACAGGAATCATATTTAGTAACATACACACAATTACAATCTTTATAGGCAATCTTTCTCAGTCAAGGTCAATGGCACAATTATAAATCCATCCCCACATGCCAGACTGCTAGGTCTAACCCTGGATTTTGAACGGTTCTTTCAGGCCCATATCCAATCCCTGTCCAAATCATGCCGCCTCAACCTCTGAAACATCTCCAGAATACGCCCCTTTTAAACCAACAACACCACAAAGCTTCTAATTCACTCCCTGGTTATCTCTTGCCTTGACTACTGCAACTCCCTCCTCATTGGCTTACCTTTACATAGGCTATCCCACTTTCAATCCATCATGAAAGCATGGGTGGAGGTGACACGGGAACTAGAGAGCAGGAGGTCTCAGACTCATCCATCTTGCCAGCTGTATAGTGTCTAGCACACCTCTCTGTCAATCCCTCCACTGGCTTCCACTCACCCAACAAATAAAATTCAAAGTCCTAACAAAAACTTACAAAGCCCCCAGCTACATCACTAACCTGGTTTCAAAATACCAACCAAACCACTCTCTTCGGTCTTCCGAAGACCTCCTGCTCTGTAGTTCCCGTGTCACCTCCACCCATGCTCGCCTCCATAGCTTCTCCCACCCTTTGGAACTCCATTTCCCAATCTGTCCAACTTTAGACAATCCCTGAAAACCTCTCTTTAAAGAAACCTATCCTGCTTTTAACTAATGCACTGTGTTTTTACTTACTCCATCAGCTCATCCCCGACAGCTATTACCTTTGTATCACTTGACCCTCCCTCTTAGATAGTAAGCTCTAACGAGTAGGGTCCCGATTCCTCTTGTACCAAATTGTATTGTAGCTGTAATGTCTGCCTTCATTTTGTAAAGTGCTGCACAAACTGTTGGCGCTATATAAATCCTGTATAATAATGACAATAATAATAATATAAATGGATGCACCTGTGAATTAACATTATCTCCTCCTCTGTAGCCTCCCTTACTGGCAACTGTACACATCTCTCTGCAAGTCCATAATCTTGTAGCCTCTTGTAGGAGACGGATATTCTTTCTGGGACCTCAATAGAACACTCTGTACTGGAAACAAAAATAAATTACATTTTAACACATCAACAACTCTATGAAACGGTTGTACTCTGATTTTTGTTGGATTGCTTTACTCCAAGCAGCACTTGTGGAATAAAGAAATGAACAATAAATTTAGCACTGCAGAGAATAAGTGGTGAATGGCTATTTCCTGGCCTGGTGTTCTGTGGCAGGCAGGAATGAAGCCATCGGGTACACATGTGGCTCAAGCTGCCTGAAGCAAAGCAATGGCACACAGCTTGGTTCAGCAGAGGTTCCAGGCATGGCCTTTACTAGATATGGGGGGAGAGCTTGCGTGTAGCTATGAAGCAGAGGGATCAGAGGGCAACAGTTTTCTTAGGTTTGGTATTTTACCTTGCTGGATAGTCAGCAGTGGAAAATGAAAATTAGAATAAAAGTTCAAATAGATTTTAAAAGCAAGGCACAGGCATGAAATATCTTCAGAAATACAAAATTCCACACTTTCACAGTGCTTACAGGAGCTTGCTGCTGGAGGGTTGCATCTTTAAGCTAGATTCCTCCTTGCCGAGCAACCAACTCATCCATATTTCATATGCTTAAGTACATGAATATCCAAAATTATACATTACATGATAGAACATATTTTTTACTGTTTTTATTATGTTTTACAAGCTATGATTATTTACTTACTTTTCCCAAAGCAGCTTATAGCTCGTCATTTCTTCATCATAAACCAAGGCCGTTGAAGAAGTCATTGCTGGAAAATGCCAAATGCATGTCAGAGTCAACAAATTTCATGTCAACAGGTATACAGAGGAGGAAACAAAGATTGAAGCTGTAAACAGATTGGGTCTGTTATCCAGTGCTGCAGTATAATTGCCCGTTCCCACCAGCAGCTGGGTTAGAACACAGGTACTGCTGTCCCGTGCAGTGTGATGAGAGAGTGCTGCTGACATATCATTAAAGTGTTACTAAATCCACAACCGTAAAAATCAGTCTGTATATGCAATAAACCATGCTTCTTATACTTACTGTGGAACCTAAGGGGTTAATCCTCTGCACTGTGTAAAAAGGCCTTTTGATCCCGTTTTCTCTGCTCCTCCTCTTTTTCAAATGTCATGTCTTATCTCCTGATAAGACAGACTGAACCCGTAGCCACATGCTCCATTTAGTGTGTATTGCAAGAGAGGTTTATGTTTTTTTGGAGGGGTTTTCAGGAGAGTGCATGTGATCAGCACAGGGCCAATCAGCACTGTCAAGACAGAGGTCAGGGGTTTTGCATGCTCCTAAAGCAGAAAGAAAACTCCTCCTAAAGGCTTTATTCAGAGCTCCAATTGAAACTGATAGAAGTCATAAGACTGCTCTAACTGCTGATGAGAAAATGTATTTATCAGTTTATATTTACTAAAATAATTGTATTTCCATGTTATGTGTACTGAGGGAGACCAGATAGAGTGAGTGCAGGGTCCTGGGTTTAGTAACACTTGAAAGTTCTATGGTCATAGTACACACTCCGTAACATCAGAATTGTAATAGCAATGCTAACAGTAGTTAATACAATCCAATATAAGCTTACTTGAAAAATCTCCTTTCATGTGGAGTTCTCCTGTCTGCTTTCCATCTTTCTGCAACCTCCTGGATTCTATGCATGCCTTGCAGCTTCTCCTCTGCTGTTTATGTTCAATTTCTAAGGACTACATAACCCATGGTACCTTGCTGTCTACAAGCAGTGTATTCCTGTATGGCTATTTCTATAGAAAAACTCCTCCTCTCAGCACCTCTAATTCAGAAGGCAGGCTCTGTGAAAAGTTTAAATATATAAAATTCCTCTTGTGGGACTTTAAGGGCAAACAAAAGCAACAAAAACAGCATTTGCATATTTCAATTGTTAAAAGATCCATAAAAACATTTATCAAAAAACATCCATGTCATCAGGTGCAAGTTGCAAATTATCTTCATATATGTCAGGGGTGGGCAACTGTGGCCCTCCAGCTGTTGTAGAACTACAAGTCCCATGAGGCATTGCAAAACTGACAGTTACATGACTCCGAAAGGCAGAGGCATGATGGGACTTGTAGTTCACCAACAGCTGGAGGGCTACAGTTGCCCACCCCTGCTATATGTAGAACTTCCAGGCATGTTACTGCTGTTTGAGCCAGATGTTATGAGCCAGATGTTATGATTCACAGCTATTCCTGGTGCTAGGAAATCAGCGCGTTTCGAATTAAACCAATATACACTTCTCCATGAGAGAATGTGTACCACACCATGGTGAAAAAGTAATACAGTGGTCTTTATCAATACAATATTTTACATTCTCAAGGCTACATCTTGATTAAACTTACATTGCATAATCCGCTTTCTGCAAATATGACATCCTCCATCAGGGAACACCCCAAATTGCAACAAGACCTCAAAGGGACAACAAATACTGCTGTCAAGCTATAATATGAAGAAAAATATAGTTTCAAGACTCACAACATTTTCAATGTAGCCTTGAGAATATAAAATATTGTATTGATAAAGACCTCTGAATACCAGCATTACTTTCTCACCATAGTGCGGTACACATTCCCTGATGAAGACGTTTTTCAGTTTTGAAGGTTTAATTAGAAACGCATTGAATTTCCCAGCACTAGGACTAGCTGTGAATCATATAACATCTGGTTGAAAGAGTGGGAACCTGCATGGCACTACCACATACACTCACTGGCCTCTTTATTAGGTACACCTGTTTAACTGCTTGGTAACACAAATTGCTAATCAACCAATCACATGGCAGCAACTCAATGCATTTAGGCAACTAGATGTGGTGAAGAGGACTTGCTGAAGTTCAAACAGAGCATCAGAATGGGGAAGAAAGGGGATTTAAGTGACTTTGAATGTGGCATAGTTGTTGGTGCCAGACGGGCTGGTCTGAGTATTTCCAAAACTGCTGATCTGCTGGGATTTTCAAGCATAGCTATCTCTAGGGTTTATAGAGAATGGGCCGAAAAAGTAAAAAATATCTAGTGAGTGGCAGTTGTGTGAACGCAAATGCTCTGTTGATGTCAGAAGTCAGAGGAGAATGGGCAGACTAGTTTGAGATGATAGAAGGCAACAGTAACTCAAATAACCACTTGTTACAACCAAGGTATGCAGAATACCATCTCTGAATGCACAACACGTCAAACCTTGAAGCAGATGGACTACAGCAGCAGAAGACCACACCGGGTGACACTCCTGTCAGCCAAGAACAGGACACAAAGGCTGCAATTCGCACAGGCTCACAATAGAAGATTGGAAAAATGTTACCTGGTCTGATAAGTCTTGATTTCAGCTGCAACATTCAGATGGTAGGGTCAGAATTTGGCGTAAACAACATGAAAGCATGGATCCATCCTGCCTTGTATCAACAGTTCAGACTGGTGGTGAGATGGTGTAATGGCGTGGGGGGTATTTTCTTGGTACACTTTGGGCCCCTTAGTGCCAATTTAGCATTGTTTAAACACTACGGCCTACCTGAGTATTGTTGCTGACCATGTCCATTCCTTTCTGACTACAACATACCCATCTTCTGATGGCTACTTCCAGCAGGACAATGCACCATGTCACAAAGCTCAAATCATCTCAAACTGGTTTCTTGAACATGACAATGAGTTCACTGTACCTCTACAGTCACCGGATCTCAATCCAACAGAGCACCTTTGGGATGTGGCGGAATGGGAGATTTGCATCATGGATGTGCAGCCGACAAATCTGCAGCAACTGCGTGATGCTATCATGTTAATATGGACCAAAACCTCTGAAGAATGTTTCCAACACCTTGTTGAATATATGCCAAGAATTGAGGCAGTTCTGAAGGCAAAAGGGGGTCCAATCCTGTACTAGCAAGGTGTACCTAATAAAGTGGCCGGTGAGTGTATATGATCTTACAAAGATAATTTGCAACTTGTAACTGGAGACATGGATGCTTTATGATAAATGTTTTTATGGATTTTTGATATTTTAACAATTGTAATAAACTTGAGAATTTTATTTTTATGTATGTCCCTAAAATTCTACTAGAGGAATTTTATATATTCAGACATAATAGGGATGGTGGCAACCTTCACCTTTACTGAGGTTTTTCATTGGCTCTGTGAAACGAATGTCACAGCAGTGCCTACTCACAGGGCACAGGAAATGCGTGTCATGGAATTCAAGGAAGTAAACATGTGGGAATCTTCATAAAGTAAGTTTACAAACTTCAAGATTGTTCAGATTAACGGGAGTAGGCTAGAAATAAATTCAATGTGGAAATGAATATACCATTTAAAATTTTGACCATAGATAAGCTTTATGTTCTGTTGGCTGCAGTGCAGTGTAGTGCTGTGGATCATGTTGCTCTGCACTGAAAAAAAATGACTGCATGTCATAATTTTTTTTTTACCACACACCACCGTAGCATGGTGGTATGACCTGGCCTGATAGGGAACCAGGGTTTGTATGAATGGACCCTTACTTGCGAGGATTGAGGTGTAAACGAGCCCTTAATCTTCATTTCCTTTTTCAAAAAGTGCCCTTACCTTAGCTAATTTTTTGTGTTCAATCTGGTTTGAAAAGTAATTTATGAAACTACATTTCCTACCTTTCATTGTGCCATTTCCTTCTAGTGGGGAGTCACAATAGGCGTGTCAGCGGGAAGTCCATTGTGCGGTTAGAATTCATTGGCAGAAGAAGGGTATGAACATCTTCTGTATACTAAACGTTTTTCTGTAAAACTATTTTTTTTATAAATGATATTAAGCAATTGAGGAATAAATGTATTGCAAGTATGAGGGTTACTAAATAATAAAAAAAATAAAATAATGTATACTCACCTAGGCGGATGTAGCATCAGTCCAATGCTGCATCTATGCTCCGCCACTTCTAAGAGTGAGAACCGACCACTGATCACAAAAACCACAAAGACCACTGACTGCTCACTTCTCAGCCTTCAGTGAGCAGGGAGCTGGTGACGGTCAGCCACTGGCTCTCTCTTCTGCCCCCTCCAGAACTCACTGGAGTACCGGGCTGTGGACAAGGTGGGAGCGTCTGAGTCAGGCTCTCAGGAAAATATTGAGAGGCTGAGCCAGCTGCCGGTCAAGGTATCGGGGTGGATCCCGACAATAAATTCAGGATCTTTTCAGAGCCTGAACTGTCTGAGTGAGATCAGTTGACAGTGGGCTTTAGCTACTGTCTGCTGAATGCAGGTAACGGGTGTGCAGAACAAAGTGAACTTCTGTGATCCATAGAACTATAGCCATATGAGCTGCCCATACTTCTCCTTTAATGAGGATCAAGATCACATTCATTTAGCTGGCCATACACTGGAGGGATCAGCTCAGAAATGTTTGTATACTAGCCTGGACCCACCAGGAAGCTGTCACTCAAACTGCCGAGACAGTCCCCACCCTGCAGCCACATGTATTGATGGGGTGTGTAAACGCATGAGGAGGGTAAAGCCTTGGTAGCTTATGAGTGACAATCCACAGTGACAACGTCCTGGTGGGATAGCTTGGATGGATTTGGACTAGTATCCAAACCCGTCTGAGCTAATCCCCGATTTGCCAATAACAGATTCCTTCATCAATGCTATACAGCACAGATGGATGAATCCCCCTTTGCTGCCACTGTATTTTGATAGCCAGGCGCAAATAGCTATTCAGTCGAGTAGATTTTTGGCTGACAATTTTCCATCTACATCCTCTGAATTTTTTTAATCAAGGGATGTCAGGCAGGATGCAGCCAACAGGCCCACCCAATAAATAGACTTTGGCCAGTTTGTAAGAAACTGTCCAAAATGCTTACAATGTATGGCCAGCTTTAAAGTACAACTAAAGGCAAAAGTTTTTTTTAAAGTGATACTAAACCCAGGACCTTGCATTCACTATATCTGGTCTCCCACAGTACACAGAGCATGGAAATGCAATTATTTTAGTAAATATTAACTGCTAAATACCTTTTCTCATCAGCTAGAGCAGTCTTGTGACTTCAGCAATGCACTGGTTAAAGCTTGTAGGAGGAGTTTTCTTTCTGCTCTAGGAGGATGTGAATCCTCTGACCCTCTGTCTGCACAGTGCTGATTGGCCCTGTGCTGATCACATGCACTCTCCTTTTTACACAATGCAGAGGATTAACCCCTTCGCTCCCACAGTGAGTATAACAAGCATGCTTTACTGCATATACAGACTGATTTTACAGTTGTGGGTTTAGTTTTGGACAGAGTGGAGAGAGATTAGAACACTTGTCAGTTTTTATTGCTGCCTGTGTTTCTATTAGGGAGATTCACCCTCTCTGTTTGTACTGTGTACTATTATCATTGACAGTGAAAGTAAAAGAAAATCCCAAATGTGGGGTTTTCCCCAGAAAAGTAACAGAGGGAAATCTTCCAATGGGGAAACTAGTTCTGAGGTCCCCAAAGCAATTCTCTTAATTTGCAGGTATTTCCTCTCACTTCCTGTTTGGCTATGGGACAGGAAGTGAAGGGAAATCTCCCCAATGGGACACAAATAGTAAAAAAAAAAAAAAAAAAATATGACAAGGGTAACAACCCTCCCTTGCTCTATCCGAAATGAAAAAAAAAGTTCTGCTTATAGTTCTACTTTAATATCCCTTGGAAGCATCTACCCAGCAAAATCAGAGATGTAAACATGCATGCAGTGTGTTGTTTCCTCAGATCCCTTCCCCTTTTACAGCTCAGCTTAGTCTGTCTACATCCCTATCTAGCCTTTTGTTGTGTGCAGGGAGGGATCAGGGTGTGATTATTCAGATAAAGGGCGTTCTTTGGAGGAGGAGGGGGTAGGAGTGCTTTCAGTACAAAACCATGTCAGGCTATAGTCCTAAAGACTACAAATGTCCCCAGAGAGCATTCATGGGGCTGGAGGGAGGAACAGCAGTCATTTGATTAAAGGAAGTGATGAAAGTATTGGATAGAAGCATTGTTTAACTAAAAAGTACTGACACTGTGTTTGCTTACAGATGTTTGAGACTAAAGTCGTATGGACACCCTGGTTGTACAGAAGTCGATCTATAGATCAACTTCTGTACAACCAGCCTGTTAGATTGTTCCTGATTTTTCAGTGCCACTGGCTATAGCTGGCAGCACTGATCACTGTATTCTGAAGGTGGGGATGACTCCCTGCTATTAAAATACAAATCCAAAAGGAAGAATATTCCCCTATCCACAACGAATGCATGGATGGGGAAATTGGATCTTTTTTTATTTTTTTGTTCAACCCACTGTTTGAACAAAAAAAAAAAAAAAAAAACCAAAGCAAACAAAATGCTGAATGTATGAGCTGCCTAAGGCTAGGTTCACAGTATAGTGTTTTCCCTGCGGCCACGGCTACTGCACCTGCAAGATAAGCAGGGAGAAAGTCCCTGAACCTTGTCTGAAGCTACAGCTGCGTGGAAACTACATGCGTTTCTGCATTAACGGCACCCCCCCACACATCTGCTAAAAAACAGCATGCGAGTGCAGGAACGCATGCGATCTGGGGTCCTTCCACATAGGGCGGACCCATTTAGCAGATCCACTTGCTCAGCAGGGATCTCTCCATTGAGCAAACAGATAACAGGTCTGTCTACTTTGCAGCAGCACACAGAGCAACTTGCTCTTTTCAATGGGAGGTCGCATGAAAATGGACTACCTGTCCATTTCCATCCGACCCGATCCAACAGACGGAAGGGGAATTGTATCCACATCGGGTCCGCCTGCCCATTTTTCAGGCGGACTTGATTGGAACCTCCATTCTCCTCTATGGAGCGGCGGGTGTAAATGGACATGTGTCCATTTACATCCGCCGCTCCATAAAGGAGAATGGAGGTTCTGATCAGGTCTGCCTGAAAAACGGGCAGTTGGACCAAATCGGAACATCCATGTGAAAGGCCTTAGTCCAGCACCCGCATAGATGTGAGCCCAGACTTAGGCTGGCCATACACTGTTCCCTTTGTTCATTCAGCCCATAAACCGATTGCTCCATCCACACCAATAAGGTGGATGGATGAATCCCTCCGTCCCAACATTGTATTCTGACAGCAGCACCCTGGAAGCTGCACTCCCAAAAATGCCAATACACAAGTGTTACAGGTCTGTCGGTGGAGACAAGGGTAAGGTGTGCAGCCTGCAGTACCTGTATAAGGTGCAGGGGAGCACAGAAGAACGGGTGCTGATCTCTGCATTCTCATTGTAATAAACAGAAAAGAATCACAACACAGACAACCACTTCTAGTATAGTGGCAGCAGGAAGAGCACACCAATAATAGCACTAACATACAGAATACTGGATGCAAGAAGGAACATATAATGAAGGAGTGACTAACCTGTATCATACAGAGGAGAGCGCAGAACATGTGTCGTTCTCTTGTTTTCAAAGTCTAATGTGAGCTAGATAGCATCACTTTCCTGTGGTTACACTCTAAGCATTAGAGCTCCCCCTAGCTGCAGCCTAGTGATAACATTTCCTGGAGGTCTATTGCAGTGTTTTTCAACCTTTTTTTTTTTTCTCAAACAAGGCACCCTTGCTTTCCATTTTTTGCGATACGGCGCTGCGTTACTTTAACTGACAATTACACGATCATGCAACGCTGCACCCAAATTAAATTTACGTCCTTTTTTTCAGTGGTATTGATCGCCTGTCCCTTTTTTTTACGCTATAAACAAAAAAAAAAAACCCAACAAATTTGAAAAAAAAAACCCAATATTTGACTTTTTTATATTAAACATGTCCAGTAAAAAAATGTTTAAAAATATAATTTTGTCAAAATTTAGGCCAAAATGTATTCTGCGACATGTCTTTGCTAAAAAAGAATCCCAATACATGTAAATTAATTGGCTTACGTGACAGTTATAGCGTCTACAAATCGTGGTATATATACTGGAATTTTTAATTTTTTTTTATATACAAGTAATGGCAGTGATCAGTGACTTATACTGGGACTGCAGCGGGCATTCTGACACTGGGGGAACTGACTAACTGCCACTGACATCTCCAATAACACTAATACAATGATCAGTGCTAATAAAAAGCACTGACACTGTACTAATGACACTGGGCAGGAAGGGGTTAACATCTGGGGCGATCAAAGGGTTAACTGTGTGCTGTTTTACTGTGTGTGCTGTGGGTGTTTTACTAGGGAAACATACTGCTGTGTATTTCGCTGCTGTGCAGAGAAATACACAGCAGCATGTTACTGCTGGCAGGAGAGAGACCCGTGTTGTTTACACACAGGTCTCTCCCGTCAGTGATACTAAGAGATTGCCAGGTGCCGACGTGGAATCTCCGGCCGGGACCCGGTGATCGACATCTGTAACCACCAATGGAGGTGCGGGTAGGGCGGCATGCATGCCCCACATGATTTTATGCAGCCCTACTTCCCTGTAGCAGTAGTTCTCTTATAGGGCAGTCGGGAAGCAGTTAAAAAAAGAAAAGTAATACACAAATGGACAATCCATGTTGAATCGGTACACAGCAGATTTATAAAATCCATACACAGATCAAAAAATTGTTAGGATACCCTCAAGTTGCCCTAAACCAGAAAGGAAAGGAGGCGTGGAAGGGAGGAAAAAGGAATGGAAGGGCAAATAACCTTGGGAAGGGGGAGGTAGGCAAGGACAGTTAGGGGGCATGTCAGTAATCAAGATAACAGTGTGACCAGTCAAAACAATACAGTTCAATACAAGAGGGATTTGAGGGCCCTGTTCCTTGGAGCTTACAATCTAGGAGGGAGGTGCTAGTGGTACAAAAGGTAGTAACTGTGGGGGATGGACTGGTTGGAAGAGTAGAAGATTCCAGTATTAGCTGAGGGCAGGATAGGCTTCCCTGAAGAGATAGGTTTTCAGAGATAGCTTAAAAGTGAGCAGAGTAGGCGATAGTCTGATTTTTAGGCATTTTACCATGGCACTCCAGACTGCCTGGTTGAAAGAAGCTGGTCTATTCATTTAGCTGCTAGCACGGTGTATAGCGATGCAGAAAGGCACACAAAGGACTCCAGCCATGATAGAGGTATTTCCAGCTGGGTGTTCCACAGCTCATACCTGCAATAGTCAGTGGAACTCCATACCAGATACAACTCACCCTGGAGCTCAGTGTACTGCAGTCTGATGACGGGTACAGTGCTCATGTATAATATCAACTTAAGGTGACCATAGAGGAGTAGAAAATCATTTGAAAATGTGTTTACATTTGATAAAGATCTCTGAAACGAGTATGTGATAACGCCATCATTGATATTAATTCCCCCCCCCCCACTTGTCGATGTACAACACAAAGGTGCATTTTTTTGTTGATTGATTACAGGATAAACGCTCATGCGCACTACGATTTAGCATGTCATTCTAAAATCGATTCTGCTACCCATGCTTTGAAAATAATTTGCTCATACTAAAATATTCCAACAGGACTGTTTGTTTTTGGTCATAAATTTGGCATTTCAAGAATCAATATGAGCCTGCTAACATTTAGAAAGTCGAACGATGGCAGCATTTCAAACTAAATTTGAAATTATTTTCTACTCGTCTATGGCCAGCTTTAGGCAGTCTGCCACCAGGCCTGCAGATAGGCTGACCACCAATGTCACCCCTCCCTTAACTCAGGAGAACCAGTCGTACAAGGTTTCTAATTGGTGGGGAAGTCACGGCTGCTGTGATTACAGTGTGGTATCAGTGCCCTGCATGCCACCTGTGCTATGTTGTTCTATGGCAGGGCTAGATAAGCTCGGAGAGTTGCAGTTCTACCTGGACAATGTGGGAGATCAAAGATCAATGAAGTGCAGCACCTTTTTTTTATTTTAAGAAATATTTATTAAAATATAATAAAAATAATGTAAAAATATAAACTTAGCCTACTTAAACTTAGCTTCGGAGTTTGACACTAGCCATTCACTTTCATTAACACATTTTTTCATGTGTGATGCTGGATTCCATCATGAAGGCAGAAAGACTGGTATTGCAGGCTGCCTTGCTGGACTAGTTTCAGGCCTAACTGTCCACTCTGAGGTCAGGCCAATGTAAGTAGTACTGTATGTAGTGCAGTGTACAGAGGTCACTAGGATGTAGGGCAGTGTACAGCGATCAATAGAATGTAGGGCAGTGTACAGCAATCACTAGGATGCAGGGCAGCGTACAGAGATCACTAGGATGTAGGGCAGTGTACAGCGGTCAGTAGGATGTAGGGCAGTGTACAGCGATCACTAGGATGTAGGGCAGTGTACAGCGATCACTAGGATGTAGGGCAGTGTACAGCGATCACTAGGATGTAGGGCAGTGTACAGCGATCACTAGGATGTAGGGGCAGTCAGCGTACAGCGATCACTAGGATGTAGGGCAGCGTACAGAGATCACTAGGATGTAGGGCAGCGTACAGAGATCACTAGGATGTAGGGCAGAGTACAGAGATCACTAGGATGTAGGGCAGCGTACAGAGATCACTAGGATGTAGGGCAGAGTATAGAGATCACTAGGATGTAGGGCAGAGTATAGAGATCACTAGGATGTAGGGCAGAGTATAGAGATCACTAGGATGTAGGGCAGTGTACAGAGATCACTAGGATGTAGGGCAGTGTATAGAAAAAAGTAGTTTGAAGGCAGTATACATAGATGGATGTAGGGCAGTGTATAGAGGTCAGTAGTATGTATTGCAGTGTACAGAGGTCAGTAGGATGTAAGGCAGTGTATAGAGGTTAGTAGTATGTATTGCATAACATCAATGTGCCCCCTTACTTCAGCTTCCCCCTTACATTAGAGCCCCTCCCCCTTACATCAATGTGCCCATTTACTTCAGAATCAACCCTTACATCAGAGTCCGCCCTTATATTATTGTTCCTCCTTACAATATCCCCAACAGTATCCCCATTCCCCACTTACATCAATGTGCCCCCCTTACATCAGTGTACCCCCTTATATCAATGTACCCATTTATTATTGTCCCCTCCTTACATCAGTGTGCCTTCCCTTACATCAGTGTATCCCCCTTATATTAATGTGCCCCCTTATATCAGTGTGCTTCTTCTTACATCAATGTGCCCCCCTTATATAAATGTGCCCTTACATCAGTGTGCACCCCTTACACCAATGTGCCCCCCACTTACATCAGTGTGCCCCCCTTTAAAATATTAGTCCCCATTAAAGTGATATTAAAGTCAAGGGTTTTTTCATAAAAACAAAAAAAGAAGTTTATACCATTGCACAGAGCAGTCCCTTATCTCTTCTTTGGTGGTCCCCTGCCTGTGCTGTCTGCTCATCCTCTTCTGAGTCACCCTATAGTAAGCCAAGATAGGGGCACTCATGCGGGTGCATTCCTGAGCCAAACTGTGTGTGTCCACAGACCAGGGACAATAAATCCCAGGTGCCAGGTCACCCATGGCAACTAGAAATTGCATCTTGGAGCCTGGGCATTTGTCAGCACATTCACTGTTGAAGGGATGCACAATTTGTATCCCCCGATGCCTGGAACATGCAGTGCCGGGAGTTGTGCAGGTAGTTTTTTTTCTACATTGCTCGCGCCCCTATGTATCCTGGGCTATGCTTGCCCATCTGCAGGCCCAGGAAAGGCATAGCGAGCACCGCAGGGTAGAGGGGAGGGAGGAGAGCGGACACCCCATCTTGTTCCTGACACGGAAGCGATGTGTATCATGCTACACTTCCGGGTCCCTGTTGAAACTTTCCAGGTCAGCATGGTCAGAAAAGAATGTAATGTGGTGTGATCTGAACTGCATTACATTCAGTGGAGCACGGGGGAGACATGCACGGTCTTTTAGACCGTGCATATCTCATTAAAGAGAACCTGTCACCAAAAAAATCATTACATGGGGGACTTTTTTGTCCCCTACGTGATGGGAAAAAAAATTAAGTAAAAAAAAATTTTTTTTTTAATTGTAAACACTTAGTTACACCAAAGCACATAAAATCCCACCCTCACATACAGTCATGGCCGAAATTGTTGGCACCCTTGATATTTTTCCTGAAAATCAAGTATTTCACACAAAAAGGTATTGCATTAACACATGTTTTGCTATACACATGTTTTATTCCCTTTGTATGTATTGGAACAAATATAAAACAGAGGCAGAAAAGCAAATATGACATAATGTCACACAAAACCCCAAAAATGGGCTGGACAAAAGTATTGGCAACCCTTAACTTAATATTTGGTTGCACACCCTTAAAACATAACTGAAATCAGTCGCTTCCTATAACCATCAATAAGCTTCTGACACCTCTCACCCGGAATTTTGACCACTCTTCCTTTGCAAACAGCTCCAGGTCTCTCTTATTGGAAGGACACCTTTTCCCAACAGCAATTTTAAGATCTCTCCACAGGTGTTCAATGGGATTTAGATCTGGGCTCATTGCTGGCCACTTCAGAACTC